AGGACCTCACAGCCCTGAATCTAAATAGAAGGGGCCAGATCCCACCTCAGGCTTCGCTCGCCAACGCCCTTGCTTTCAGCAGCACGGCCATCCCCAAAAGAGTTGTTTCCTGGAGGTTTAGGCCTATGAAGGACTGGGCCTATGAAGATGCTTCCAGGAAAAGCCCTGATTTTCTAAAGACTAACATTTCTGGGTCTCCTGTAACATTTGAATAGAGGACAAAATTTCAAATTCTAATAACAGAGCGTTCAGAATGGACAACTGTTCTGCAGTTTTTAAAAGCAGGTATTATTCATTCTCTTCAAACCTATATATCCCGTGCATTCAGGCCATTTGTGTGAAGAGTGCAGGCCACTGGGGCAGGCTGCAGGGTTCACCGGTGATGACACCACGGTGGGCAGTACAGTCTGGGCAGGTGACAGTCTGCCTGTGCAGGAGTTTCATCATAAGGGAAGTAAAGTTTCTTCTTACCTCTGAGGGCTGCTGTGAGGATTAAAAGAGATCATACACATAAAGCACTGAGACCAGGGCTCATAGCACAAGGACTTGAATTTCTTCCTGGGCTTTGAATCTACAGACTGCAGAAGCAGAGAACACCACAAACCATGTGTACACCCCCTTAAACAGAGGTTCCTAACTCAGGCCTCTCCCAACTGCCTTTTCTCTACATAATTGCCCCTCCCCTTCTCCTGTTCCTCTTTGTCTGCCCTCCTGGTTCCCAGCTTCTGAGTTCAGGGCTCAGTGTGCCATGCCTCCTAGGTGGTAGCTACAGTCTAAGGGGGACTTTTATTTATTTATTTTTAAAGATTTATTTATTTATGCATACAAGAGCTGGGGTACAGGTCAGAGATGCGGGGGGTGACAGGATTCACCAAAGACAGAGTGGGGAACCAACAGGGAGACTGACTGAAATATACTGTTGAGGGGAGCAGTGGGCGAGACAGGAGAGGTCTGCTGCGCCATGTGGGTAGGTCCCTGGCTGGCCAGGGATCGAACTCATGCTGCAGAGGCTGCGGACAGCTTCACAGTGCTGTGCTTAACCCCTTGAGCCACCAGGGAGGCCCTAAGGGGGACAATTAAAGCCAGCTGGGGCCAGCTAGTGCAGAAAGATTATTTTGAAGCAAAAAAAAATTTTTCTAAAGTTCTTACATTGACTTGATAAAAAGGAGCACTGGCTGAGGAGTGAGGAGACTGGATTCTGTACTGGCTTGGCTTTCAACTGGGGCTGTGATTTTCAGCTTCAGTTTCTTCTGCTGCAGGGTGACAGAATTGGATGAGACAAAGGTTTTCAGGGGCCCTGGGGTGATGCCTCCATGATCACCTTGGAAAATGTAGAGGGGAAGGGATGGCATCTGGAGCTCTGCTTCCTTCACTCAGAGGAGGTCCATTTGTATCTCTTTTGGACACTGGGAACACTTCAAGATGTTGTTGTAGCTCAGGCTCCCTAAAAAGCAGCGCATAAAGCAGAAGCAAATGTGCAAGAATTTGATGAGAGGGTGCAGTGCTAGGGCAGCTGGAATGGGGGAAGAGGGGAGACAGAGAAAGAGGAAGAGTATGAAAGATGACTGTGGCGAACTGGCTGCCATGAGCATCAACTGAAGCAGCTACATCATGTGGAAACTTCTTTACAGAGGTTGTGTGAAGCTTAGAACCAGAGTGAGAAAGAGAAAAGAATTTCTCTGCTAACCTCTATTTCTTGTTGGTCAAAGTTTCACCCCATGAAGTGCCTAACATTCTTGCACTTCTGAGGTCAGAAGTTTTGGATGGGACTTAAACAGTTGTGCTGGAGTGAGTGGCAAGGCCCTGAAGACAGGTGTGGCCAAGCAGATCTTGGGTGGTGCATCAAAAAGTATTTGAAACAGGGCCTCCCTGGTGGCACAAGGGGTTAGGATGCAACCTATGAAGCTGTCCGCGGCCACTGAAGCACGAGTTCAATCCTGGGCCAGGGAGCTGCCCACACAGAGCAGCAGTCCTCTCCCCTCAGCAGTGTATTTCAGTCAATCTGCCTGTTCTGCTCTCCACTCTCTCTGGTGAATCTTCTCACACATATACCCACCTCTGGCCTGTACTCCAGTTCTTGTATGCATAAATAAATCTTAAAAAAAAAAAAAGTATTTGAAACATTTGGGGCCAGAGAAGGACTGAGTCCCACCAGGCTGGGAGATTTTTCTTCATGTTCACTAAAGAAAGCCTGCCCCCTGCCAGTCTGGGCACCCTTCAACCCAGGGGGACACTGCTGGCCCCAGACAGTGTTTTATTGGTATTTAAGGTACTGAAAGATTAAATGGGCCAGAGAAGCTCCCTCCACACAGATGCATCCTCTAACAGCTGGCAGCCCATCCATGGATATATAATCAAATTGATGACCTCACAGGCACGTCATCCCCCTTCTGGAGAGCCCAGCAGGCTTGCAAGACCAGCCGAAGATGAGAGACTGGGGTCAGAATGGGCAGCCTCAATCCTTCTTCTCTGGTGTATACATAGATCAATCTGTCGATGGAAGAGTAGAATCACTAAAATTAAATCTGGGCTCCAGTCTGAGTGTTGTCATTGATGACCTTGGGCACCTTTCTTTAGTTCAGGTCATTAGTTTTCTCTGCTGCAAAATAAAGTAAACATGACCTTCGTGGAGGCTGGGTGGACATTGGGTGTGGCTTGTGGGCTCAGGAGCCCAGGACGGGACTGACAGAATTTTATATTGATGCAGGCACCAGTGACAGGCAGGAAAGGAGATATGGGCTCTGATCAAAAGGAGAAGGATAAACCCAATAACCATCTATGAAAAGATAAGGAAGAAAATAGAATGGAGCTAGGTATAACTCAAACCTTGTACATCTTTTGTTTGTTTTCTTTTTTTGAAGATTTATTTTTTATTTATTTATGCACAGAAGAACTGGGGTGAAGGCCAGAGGTGCCAGGGTAGGCTGAGAGGATCCACCAGAGGCAGAGTGGGGAGCAAAACAGGCAGATCCACTGCAATACTCTGCTGAGGGGAGCAGTGGGTGAGACAGGAGAGGTCTGTTGCACCATGTGGGTCAGCTCCCTGGCCAGGGATCGAACTCATGCTGCAGTGGCAGTGGCTGTTGACAGCTTGATAGTACTGAGACTTAACCCCTGAGCCACCAGGGAGGCCCACCTTTCATATCTTAGAGGGATACAGCAGGTCCAGGGACTGACTATTATAATAAACAAATCCACTGAGGCAGCTTCTGTGCAAAGAGCTCCATGTGCCCTACTCTTTTAATTATCACAACCCAAATGTAGCAGATGCAACAGGCTTCTCCTCCTTATTATAGCTGAGTTAACTGAGGGTGGGAGGGGTTAAGGAACTTACCTAAGCAACTTACCTAAGTGACCCAGCTAGTTAGGAATAGTACCAGGACAGACAGCCTGTCCTGCAGATTGTTCTGGAGCTTGCCATTTATTCTCCCGTCTCACAGAAATGCCGTCTCCCCAGGCAGCTTCTTAGGTTTTACTTGTCATCTATATTCCAGAGAGACACAAGTCTGTCTATCCAGCTCCCAGGCCTGGCCTAGACTTCAGATCTAGGTCTAACAGCCTTCTACTAGCTTAACGTGTCCAAGCGTGAACTCTCATTTACCCTAAACCTGCTCCAACCTGCTTCCTAGGGGGTGCCTCCACCTCCCAGCCAGCTGCAGAACTTGACTACTGCCCGGAACTCTTCCTCCTCACTCCACATCCAAGTCATAGTCATGGTCCCTCCCACACCTAGCGCCAACTCTCTCCAACCCCCATCACTGTGAGCAGTCCAGGCCCCTTACTAGAACAACTGCCCCATGCGCGCCCACCTCAGGGCCTCTGGTCCAATTATGGCTCATCCACCCCCATGTGTGGAAGGAGGATTTAAAATGCAAATATGATGGTGCCATCCTCTGCCCAGGCCCCAGACTTGCTTCCCACTTTGCTCAGGACAAAGGCCTTCCTGGTCTGCACTGGTGCCTTCCCGACTCTGCTGCTTTCTTTGAACTTCTTTCCCTTCTTGTGTCAGCCCCTCCTGTCTCTGTGGATGCCAGGCTCCTGGTTAGCTCTTCTTTCCACCTGGAACTCTCTTCCTTACACCCTGTTATTCCCCCAATTCCTGCTCAGACTTTATTGTCAGCTCAGAAGTCCGAAGTCATCCTGGAAGATGTCAGTTCTCCAGAACTGTTTGTCTTTGTCTCCGCCTCTCCTTGTCCTACCCACACAAACTCAGTCCCTTTGCACTTTCCAACGTCCCCTGCCCCCACGTCAGCCCTATCAGAGCAACCTTCAACCGTTTCTGCAGGCATAGGGCGCTGTTCACGAGCAGGGAATTAACCGAGTTAATCCAGTTTGAATGAAACCGGGAAGCGAATTTCACAAAGCCACCAAGTTCGCGAGTGACAAAGCTAGACCTGGAATTCATCACCCCACCTTGGAAAGAATTCGCTGCTCCTCAGCGCCTCCCCAGCTACCCCACCTGTGAATCCCTGGGTCAAGGCCACAGCGTGGACATTCTCAGCAGCGACCCCTTTCATCTGTGGGTTAAGGGGTGTCGCACAGAGGGGAAGAAAAGAACCGCCAAGCCTCCGGGTTCCCAAAGACCAGAGAAATCCTGGCCGCCCCCCAGGGGAGCATCTAGCCTGGCTGGTCTTGCTCCAGGTCTCTATCCCACCCTAGCTCCAAACTCGGGCCTCGCGTAGTCCCGGCCTCACTTCGCGCTGCAAACAGCGGCCGCAGGGCCAGAGCGCAGCGCGCGGGCTCCGCCCCGGCTCCGGGAGCGGCCGGTCTCGCCGCGCGACTCCGCCCCAGGAGCAGCGCGCCCCGCTCCCCGCCCCCCGCCACCCCCGCCCCGGGGGCCCCCGGGCGCGCGCTCCGCCCTTCCTCCCTGCCGGCCCCGCCCCGTCCCTTCCCCTCGGGAGTCGCGCGCTCGGGCCGCCGGCAGCCCCTGGCCCCGCGCTGGGCTTTGCAGCGGCGGCGATCGGACCCGCCGAGCCCCTCTCCCGCTCCGGGGCGCAGGGCGAGGCCCGGCCGGCCGGCGGCTGTCATGGAGGCAGCGGCGCGGAGGCGGCAGCACCCGGGAGCGGCGGGCGGCCCGGGCGCGCAGGCGGGCGCCTCCCTCTCGCAGGCCAGGTGGGTGCGCGGGGCCCGGGCGCAGCGGACCCGTGTTCCCGCCGCCGGGTCCGGCTCGGGGCTGGGGCGGTGCGTGCTGCCACCGTTCTGGGGCCGCGGAAGGGCGCAGCTGGGGCTGGGCAGGTGCAGTTTTCGCCGTCGGGTTCCAGCGCTTGCCCTGCGGCGGCTTCCTCGCAGGTCCCGAACCCCGCCTCTGCATTCCTTTCTCCGCCTTGGGGCGCCCCCCGGGACCCGGCCGGCCTTAGGGGAAACCTCTCCAGGGGCGCCGGCCACTTGGGTTCAGGGCAGCAGCCTCGGAGAACAGGTGCGCTCATGGGGGTTCCCAACTCACCCGCCAGCCCCGGGCGCCTCTTGCAAGTTTTCAGGATCCCTCCAACCCTGAGTTGGACTTGGTTCCGGGGCTGGTCTGGAGACTCGCTCCTTGCCCCGGGGTAGCCGAGGGAGCGAGCATGTAAAGCATGTAAATGGCAGAGACAGCGCAGGAGTGTGGAAGCTCGCCTCGGGGAAGGACTTGGAAGGGCGCGTCTCGGTCTGGCTCCCTTCTTTGCTCTGGCGGAGAAGTTACTGGTTTAAGGGAGGGGAACAGAGGAAGAGGCGCGGACGCTGCCTTCTAAGTTTTCCCTCCGTTCTGCTCCCATCCCGTTTTACCGACCTAAATCATTGCGTTTGGCAGGCATTCATGAAGGGCCTCTGCATGCCCAGCGCTGTGCCAGGCACTAAGGAGGTGGGCAGAGGGAGGCCAGAGGGGCCCACAGTCCAGTTGGGACAGAGCCCGAGTGGGACCGAGAGAGCATCTGGAGAAAGTGACCCTTGAGCTGAGTTTCAGAGGACCCGGCCAGGGACACAGGGAAGAAAAAGGCCGTACTGGCCTAGGGCAGAGTTTGGGGAAAGGCAAGGGATGCAGTTGGTGAGCAAGCTCTTGTGTGCAATGGCAGGAGGACATCCCCTGATTGTGAAGGGCCTCGGATGGCAGCAGAGCTGGGACTGAGTGAAAGCCTAGAGGGCCATATTTAAGGACATGCTCCCTCTCCGTCAGGCCGGGCCTGGAGAGTGAGTGCCTACTGAAATCTCAGATTCTATGTGCCGCACTCTAGGTCCTGCCCTATATGCCAGGTGAAGGATGCAGCTGTTGTTTCTGAGGCACAGCCACAGGAGGTTTTTATTTTATTTATTTAAAAGATTTATTTATGCATATAAGAACTGGGGTACAGGCCAGAGTTGCGGGAGGGGCCTGTGAGAGGACTCACCAGACAGAGTGGGGAGCAGAACAGGCAGATCTACTGAAATACACTCTGAGGGGAGCAGCAGGAAAGACAGGAAAAGTCTGCTGCGCCATGTGGGTCAGCTCCCTAGCCGGGGATCGAACTTGTGCCAGTGGCTGGCAACAGCTTGATAGCGCTGTCTTTAACCCCTGTGCCACCAGGGAGGTCCCCCTGGGAGGTTTTTAGCGCTAGTATGCTCAGAGTCAATTTTAGGAATTATGTGGTATGATTTGGGGTGAAGGGAGACATTGGAGAGACTAGGCTGAAAGTAGCTCTCCTACTACTGGGAGACATCTCTGTTCTGGAGCCCCTTCAAGTTGGGTCTCTGCCTTGAACTGTGGTAACCCAGTTAGAACAGTCTATAGCTGTCAGCGCGGTCATCACTTTATCTCATGTGTACAGCTTCCAGATGCAGCATCTTACTCAGCCTTTTTGAATTTTATATATGGAGAAACAGACCCAGAAAGGTTACATCATTTGCTGGGAAAAACCAGGGCTGAACTCAGTACTTTTGGTTTCTGATCTCTGCTCTTACAACTCCACTTTGGCTGTTGATGAATGATGTCTCTATCTACTCCTTCATGAGCTCCCTGCTAGCCAGGGTGCTCCCAGAGTGCTACCTCCCTCTGTGGTACCTCTAGGCACATTCTCAGTATCATTGTTGGTCAGGACAGTAGGCAGGGTCATCCTGTCCAATTCCTAAAGTACTCAGATGCATCAAGGTAATTCAGTCCAGTTCCATGTTCTGTTGCGGGTTTTTTTTTATATTGTAATCAAAGTAACATATACCGATGACTAAATAAAATAACACAGAAGGGCTTAGAGCTAAAAACAGTAGTCCTCTGTTTCATCTCTTCCTGCACCAGAGACAACCATGTTAGCTTTTTTAGCTGTTTCCTTTTTTAAAAAAATTATTTATGCATGCAAGAACTGGGGTACAGCCCAGAGATGCGGGGGAGAGGGGTGAGAGGGTTCACCAGAGACAGAGTGGGGAGCAGAACAGGCAGACTGACAAATACACCACTGAGGGGAGCAGCAGGCAAGACAGGAGAGGTCTGCTGCACCATGTGGGTAGCTCTCTGGCTGGGGATGGAACTGGTGCTGCAGTGGCTGCAGTCAGCTTCATAGGTTGTGTCTTAACCCCTTGCGCCACCAGGGAGGCCTCTTTCCCCCATTTTTATTTGCCTTCATTTCCTCATTTTTTGTTAAAACTTTCCAAAAGGTTAAGTGTTTCACCATTCTTTATATAAAGCCAAAGCCTATTCATGGGTCCTATTCATGGGTCCTTGCTTGATTCTACAATGGCTGAGATTCTTTCTTTTCAGATGCTGTTGACTGCTTTGCATATTTCAACTAGATGGTATGCGCTTCCCAAATGTCATGGTATCATTTTCCCTATATGGTAGGCTCCTCCTGTAGAGGAGAGAAAAAGCCAGCCTTGCTTCAGGTTACCTGCTGTTGTGCTTCCCCAGTTGTTCTTCGTAGTAGTTTCTGTGATGATTGAATCCTACAGCAGGTACAGGCTAGGGGCCCAGTGTGTGAAATATGTGGCATCAGGAACTTAGAAAAGGCTTGAGATTGCTCATCCCCAGGACAGGGGCTGTTGGAGATGTGCCTCCACCCTCCATGATCTGCCGCCTGTGGTCAGAGTTCCGACAGAAGGAAACCAGATGCTTATCAAGCTTGTTTCCAAGATTGTCCTGTACCTGCCCTGCTAACTGGACTAATGACGAGGTTGACTGAGGTGCCGCCTGAGGTGGGGAGGAAATTGTTACTGAGCTCCCAGTATTTGGTAGGCACCCAGAGACCCATACCTGAGCACTTCCTCAGGCTTTCCAGTTGCCTTTATTCCCTGTAACAAACATCCTACTCTGCCCAGTTCAGAGCTTTTCAGAACAAACCACTAAGGTCTCTTATCATTCTCCATCCAACGTTTTAGGGCCTGGAGATCCTCACCTGCTTTTTGAGGCCTTGCTGTGGTGGTCAGGGATCAGGGTGACCTCTGTTACAGTCACTCCTCTCAGACCCCTGAGCAGTCCTCAGTTTCTGAGCGTCTGCCCAGTCTGAAGACCCATCCAGCCCTCTCTACTGTTCTTCTCTGCCAGGAAGCCAGGCCTCGCAGCTCCAGCAGTGCCTTTCTTACTTCCACTTCTGGGCCTTAGATCCTCCTCTTGGGCTGCTTTTCTGCCTACTTAAAGCCAACCATCCATGCTTGAGGCTCCAATCCTTCCTGCAGGCTTTGCATACTGTTCCAGCTGTGCTGATCCCTTTCTAACCTGATTTAATATGCTTCAATGCTTATCATACTCTGAAATAGAATAGCAAGCTATCAAGAGCACAGGAATTCATACAGACCCAGATTTGAATTCTGTGCAGTTCAGAACTCCTGAGTTGCATATTACTGAAAGCCAGTGTGAACGGCAGCACCCTCAGCGGAAGGGAATGTAGTGGCTCATGTGGCCAAACCACTGACCTCAGGGGCACCTGCAGCTGGGAATGTGGGTACTCTGAGGGCTTTTCCTCCCTAATCCTAACTGCACTGCTGCTTTGTTCTCACCTGGCTGTCCCTTGCAGGCTGCAACTTTGACCATAGGCAGCAATGGACTTGCATCCTTAGTACCTCAGGACCATAAAAGAGGGCACTCTTTCCATCAACTCTATTCTCACTAGGCTGTCCTGGGTCAACATCCCTCCCTGTGGTTAAAGAATGATCTCTTACCAGAAGAGGCAGGAAGTGGGAAACAGACTAACAAAAGGAATTAGTCACTACAACTCCTCACTAGGTAACCTTGGCTAAGCACTCAGCCCCTGTGAGCCTCAGTATCCTTGTTTGTAATACAGGAGGGTAACAGCCCCTGCCTCCAGGGATTGCTGAGGATTAGATGAGATGGTACAGGGGAGGCTTTTAGCATAGCTCATCCCGCAGTACAGGAGACAGAGAGACCTTAGAAAGGTCTACTCTGTCTTATCTGTCACCAGCGGATGATGAGATTCCCCCAAGAGCTTGTCCTCCCAAAACTCTGGGTTACTCTACCAGCCCAGCGTGGAGCATTCTGACAGATGGCTGAATAGCAGCATTGACAGAGGAGAGCCTTCACAGTACCTCTAAACTTTCTGTTTGCCACCAGAAAGAATGAGTGAGTAGTAACTGAGATCGTTTATACCTGAGAATAAACTAGGTACTGAGCTGAGAACTCTGGAGAACACAGATCTGTGTCACACAGCTGTTCTTGATCTAGATGGGATGATAAAACTCTCACTTCTGTCATCTCCAGAAGTAGTGGGCTGCTTGCCACTGGAGGTGTGCAGGAAGTGGCAGGAACACTGAAAAGAGGGTTTGGACTCTGATGGGGGTTAGGTGAGTTGAAGAAACTTAACAGTCACTCCTCTCCTTGACTCTCTAGATAAGGGAGCAAAATCCAGCCTTGTAACATCATGGCCAGAATGGGAGTCAGGGATGACGCCCTCCCTGTAGTGGCACCAGTGGGGCTTTGGGAAAGTCTTCATCCGGGAAGCCTTCCCAGAGGAGGTGGCCTGTGCACTGGCTCTGGAACATCAACCCCTCTCATAGCAGTTAGCTACCTGCTTTGCAGGAGGGACAGTAATTCAAAGATGTGTTATCACATGGTGCTCCACTTCTGGCCATGTCCCTCACATCAGCTGTCCCGTTGGTGTTCCTCTTAGGCTTCACTATGAGTTGGTGAGAAGAAGCACACCAGACCCTACCATCTCATCTCTTCATGGTTCAGGAGATGAAGGAAAGGAAAGCCCTGTCCATCTCAGCCCATCCCAGTCCATCCCAGTCCATGGTCTGATATCAGGCACATCACAGCAGAGGGCTCTGATTGGTCCAGCTCAGGTCACATGTTCATGCCATGGACCAGTCACCATGGACACAGTGATGGGTTAGTACCTAGTCATAAAGCTCTGGCCCCTAATTGCTTAGGTTCAAATATTTAGCTAGGGGGCCTCCCTGGGGTGCAAGGGATTAAGCACCGTGAAGCTATCCACAGCCTCTGCAGCATGAATTTGATCCCCCGCTGGCCAGGGAGCTACCCACATGGCGCAGCAGACCTCTCCTGTCTCGCCTGCTGCTCCCCTCAGCAGTGTATTTTAGTCAGTCTGCCTGTTCTGCTCCCCACTCTGTCTCTGGTGAATCCTCTCACCCCCCCACCTCTGGCCTGTACCCCAGTTCTTGTATGCATAAATAAATAAATCTTAAAAAAAAAATATTTAGCTAGGTAACTTTGGGCTTCAGTTTGTTTCACTTGCAAAATGGGGGTAACATTCTACCTCAAAAAGTTTCTATGAGGATTAAAAGTTAAATGAGAGAATACCTATAAACAGTTACAATAGTGCTGGTATAAATGAGTTCCACAAAAGATTGGCTAACGTCTTCCATCATCACCTTTCGTATTTTCAGCCACACTTGCACCCTTTAGCTCCTTTTATTTCCCCATCATTATAGATGAGAAGGCCCAACAGTTATTGTGGCTGTTTGCCAGTTTCTCTCCTGAATCACAGAGAAGCTGGAGTCCACTCCAGAACATCTTCTCTTTGGCTGCAGGGTCAGACCCTCGTGTTCCCTGCAAGTCATTTTCCTAGAACTTAGTTATGTATATTTCCTCCTATCCCCCAAACCCCCAAGACTCTCTTTGGCTCACCTCAGCTTCCCACAGCAGGAAGGGAAAAGAGCTCACACCTCTCTTGTGCTTCCTTCCCAGGCACAGCTCTGTCAAGGCCGAGGAGGCTACAGGCACTGCTCCCTTCCACCTGGACCTCTGGTTCTACTTCACCCTGCAGAACTGGGTCCTGGACTTTGGCCGCCCCATTGCCATGGTGAGTGTGAAGCTGGGGGCAGAGCCCCACCCAGCGCTGAGGGGACTGACTGTGACTTAGATTAGCCGAGTGACCTTATGTAAGTCACTTCCCCTAAATTGCGAGGACAGACCTGGGTGCTTTCAATCCTTTGGCTCTGTGACTGTGGCCAGTGAGGCGACTGCCAGCAAGTAGAAGGTCTGAGGGACCTGTATAGTCATTGTGCCCCAACTCTTTTATAGGAAACTAGTGGCTTCAACAGTCACACTGTCCCCATATCACACATCCAGGTTTAACCATATCGAACAGAGGAGTGTGGAAAAGGAAGCAGCTCATTCCTGCTGCCTTCCCCACAACCTTCAGATAGTATTATTTTCCTGTAGGTGAAGAATATAGTCTGATTTGACATATTACATGTGACTCTGAATCTCTGGTGAAACCATCTCCTTCCTTCCAAGGCCACTTCAGATATCAGTGTACAGGGGTGGCCTCTCTGGAGGAGATTAATGTGGAAGAGCCCCAACGCCCCTCACTTAGGATAGATAGATGCGTAGGCTGATTGATCGACACATAGATGAATACATACATACATACGTCAGTTGCTGCACAGAGTATATTAATTCTGGAAGGGCAGCCCCTCACTTACAACAAATAGATACATAGGCAATAGAATGTGAAGAAAATTGATTGAGGAACCCCATATACTAGGTTTTTGTTTATGTGTGGCAAAAATAACACTATCCAATGCTGAAACTCATACCTTGTACAACTAGTGATAATGCAAATTAGCAAAGCTCTTTTGGAAAGCAGTTTATAAGTATTAACTAGTACCTGGAATAGTCCCTAGCATGATAACAATAATAACAACAAGGTAAAAATAGCTGTTTAATAATACACATTGAGTGCTTAGTCTGTTCTAAGCTCTTTATGTGTTTTAGTTATTAGTTCAGGTTTATAGATGAGAAGATAGAAGATCAGAGAGGGTAAGTAACTGGCCCAGAGTCAGCTAACTAGCAAGTAGGGGAGCAGCCACTGAACCCAGGCCCTCTCACCCCAGAGCCTACCCTCTTCCATCATCCACACATCCAGATCCCTAATATCTTCCTCCCTCCTGACCCAGTAAGATCCCTTCCAAGAATCTGCCCTGAAGATATAATCAGTAGGAAGACAACAGTTTCTGTACCTGAAGATGTTCATTGCAGTGTTGCTTACAGAAGCCTAAATGTGGGGGACTTCAGAGTCCAGCAGTAAGGACTGGATAAGTCAACTTTGCTGCACGCGGTCCTCTGTAGAGGATGTTGCCTGCGCATTACATGGGATTTATGGATACTACAGAGCACCCCAGAATATTTAGGGAGAAAAAGGTGCCTAAGTTGCAGGCACACTTACTGACGACAAGTCAGTAACAGTCTTAATAATCTTGTGTGAGTGGCATCAAAGACTTGAAGGAATGAAGAAAAGCTGTCCTGGCAATGGTGTCAGTGAGGAGTTAGGACAAGTGCTGGTATTTGCAAATTTTCTGTGAAGTTCACATGCTTTTTAAATGTGGGAGAATGGAAAGGGACAACTGAGCCAGGAGTCATGCACCTGGTCAGGGTTGTGGGTGACCTAGATTACTTGTCTGGCTTCATTTCTCTGAACTGTAAGAAGACTGGTTGGATGAACTATTCTGAGTCCCCTTGCAGCATAAAAGCCCCACATATTGGGGGCAAAGGAGCTGATTATCAAACGGGTGCTCAGGGAGGGGGGATGAGCCTAGAAGCAGGCTGTCCTCATGAGGACTCAGCCTCAACTGCCCAAGTGGGGGTCTCTTGTTGGACAGATTACTTTCCCCATCCTGCCCAGAGTTGCTGCCACTGTAACTGTAAAGTGAACTCTTATTAGACGCTTTTCAGTAGGCCTGCTAGTCCCAAGCTAGTAATGACTAAAAAATAAAAACTTTCACAAGTTAGAGAAGTAACATGTAGTAGGTGCAACAAGTCAGTTCACGCCGGGTATATAAGGAAGTATTAGACTCTCCCTTTTCATCCCACCCCTGCAGTTTGGGGCACATCCTTCCACTCCTTTCTTGCTCATACAAGCAAATATGCTTAATACACACACACACACACACACACATACATACACCCCTTTTCGTTTTAGCCAAAATGAGACTTCATTCCTTATTTATACCTTATTCTACAACTTGCCTATTTTACTATGTCATGGATGCTTCCCCATGTCAGTACATATAGGTGTCATTTCTATTAAATGAAAACTTAACTTTCTGGGCCTTCCTGGTGGCAGGGTTTAAAGACAGCACTTCCAAGCTCTTTGCAGCCACTGCTGCATGAGTTCGATCCCCAGCCAGGGAGCAACCCATATGGTACAGCAGACCTCTCCTGTCTTGCCCGCTGCTCCCCTCAGCAGTATATTTCAGTAGATCCGCCTGTTGGCTCCCTACTCTCTCTGCTGAATCCTCTCAACCCCCACACCTCTAGCCTGTACCCCAGTTCTTGTATGCATAAATAAATCTTTTTAAAAAATGACTACTTAACTTTCAATAGTATAGGTATATTATAATGTATTCAAACTAGTCCTCAGTTGGCCTTATTTCTGGGATTTGCTATCACAGAGTAGTTCAGCCATCATATGTATCTTGCTATGAAGATACAGAGATACACAAACATACTTGAGAAAGAGAGAATAAGAGTGAGAGAGAGATTGAGGTTCCTGTATCCTGGGATTATTATTTCTTCAGGTTAGTTTTATTTAACATGGCAGTTCTGATAAAAGAGGTAAACATTCAAATTTTTATTGAAAAATTGGGTCATTGCATTTGTCCCTAATCAACAGATATTGGAAGTATATATTCAAGTCTGCCCAATCTCCCAACTTGGGGAGATTGTGAAATGTTTTGGCCTCAAATCGGATTCTTCACGCTGATCCTGACAAGGCCAGGATGCGCAGGGGTAGATCAGTAAGCGTGTTCCAGATGGACACAGTGCCCCTGGCCTGCCTCTTCTCCTGAGTACCACAATGAGAAGGACTTGCCCTGGGTCACCTAGAAAGTTGGTGGTAGGACTGGGTTCCAAAGGAGCCTGGCACTCTCAGGCTGGCATCCAAGGACATTTATTTAGTACCCACTGGGTGAGGAGCACAGGATCAGGCTGTGGATTTACAGCTACTACGTGTCCAGGGACAAATCTGTTTACCTTCTCTGGGACTTAGTGTCCCAATCTGAAAACCCCTTCCCAGGACTACTGAGCCGATCCCAAGAGAACCCAGGAAGAATTAGGGTGTGTGAAATGTGAAAGAGGTGGGAGGCCGACTCCCCAGGGCCTCATGGTGGTCTGTGCTGGGCTGATCCCCATGCCTCTCCTTGCTCCCCAGCTGGTGTTCCCTCTTGAATGGTTTCCGCTCAACAAGCCCAGCGTGGGGGACTACTTCCACATGGCCTACAACATCATCACACCCTTTCTTCTGCTTAAGGTACAGTCATAGTCTCCCTGCCCTCCTTTTCGCCCTTGTTCCTTCCTCCACGCAGCAGGGAAGGTGGGGGTGAAGGCTGTGACAGAGGGAAATGTCAAGGGCCCAGGGAGCTGTCAAGGGCCCACCTCCAGCTCTGGCGGGAAGGGTGGCAGGGGCCTCTCTAAGGAGGGGCTTTAGACTGGGCCCTCAGCCCAGTGCACCAGGGGTATGGTGGGAATAGTGTTTGGGCAAAAGGACCTGAAGACAAGGCCATGCTTGGGAAGCCATAATACATTTGTGGAGGCTGAGATGGAAGGAGTGGTTGAGCTGCTCAGTGAGAGGTGAGAGACGAGTTGGAAGGCAGGTAGGGGCCAGGTGCCAGCAACAGAAGGTGAGCTCTATCCTCTGGCCTGGAGATCCCTGACTTTGAGATGTCGCTGGGAGCCCAGAGCTTTGTACTTTGCTAAATAAAAGACTTTTAAAACAACACTGTGCCTTCTGCTATCACCATTATTTTGTTTTCATTCCCAACAATTACTTTGTTTTTGTCATGGACCAGTCACTCAGAAATCAGAGGTTCCCTTCAGCAGGCTAGCCCAGCCCCCCAAGGGCACAACTGGGGGTGGTGGGAGGCCCCTGGGAGGTGGTAGGAGAGCCTGGATGCCCACACTGAAGGCCTGGCTGTCACCTCCAGCATGCGGCTCGTGTGTGTGACCTTGGCCAATGAGCTGGCTCCTTAGTTTCCTCGCTGGAGAAGGGAGTGCTGTTCCCCCCCAGTCCCTGCTGGGTTCACAGGGATCATGTGAGACTCTGGAGGCTTGGCTGACTCGCTAAAGGGGCCCACCAGTTTCTGAGTAACTTTCCATGCCGGTTGTGAGGGAGCGAATCAGGGTCTCGTGTTGTGATGCTGGACTTCCTTTGACCTCAGCTCATCGAGCGGTCCCCCCGCACCCTGCCGCGGTCCATGATCTATGTCAGCATCATCACCTTCATCATGGGTGCCAGCATCCACCTGGTGGGCGACTCCGTAAACCACCGCCTGCTCTTCAGCGGCTACCAGCACCACTTGTCTGTCCGCGAGAACCCCATCATCAAGAATCTCAAACCTGAGACCCTGGTGAGACTGCCTCCCCCCACTGCCCTGTGGATACTGTATGTCCTGGGGGCCAAAAGGATTGTCCCCCATCACTGTGCGTGACCTTCTGCTAAAGGCATCCTGCTAGGTGGGGGCGGCCCACCCTAGGATGCCCATGTTCACTAGGAGGTGTACAACTGGTCCTGCGTGGGCTGCTTGGGAAGAGGGCCAGACCCAGAGGGTAGGAGTGAGGGCAGTTAAGGGGAGGCCTGGGTGTGGGGGGAGATGGCCAGGGGGCTGCTTGGGGCCCCAGCACCTCCCTGAATCATGCCCTTTCTGACCCTGCCATGTCTCTGCCACCCACAGATCGACTCCTTTGAGCTGCTGTACTACTACGATGAGTACCTGGGCCACTCCATGTGGTGAGTGATGGGGCCCGTCCAGAAGGATCAACAGCCAGTCTGTCCACCCAGGGGCCCTGGCCCCCAGCCAAGGCTGTCAGCAGCTGTGAGGACTCTGGACAAGACTCTGGACCTCAAGTCTCCAGGTGTCTGACATGGCCTTCCCTTTCCCTGAGAGGGGAGCTGGCCTCTGTGAGGCTTCCTGACCACCAGGCCCGCCGCCCTCCCAGCCTGCAGTGCCCGAGGCAGCCACCAGAGGGCATGAGTGGCACAAGTGGCTGCCCTGGCACAACCTGGAGCCTGAGGAGTTGGCGGAGAAATCCAGGCTGATAAACAATCCTCCCCGCTCCGTGGTGACATGGGTGTGGGGACCAGAGTGAACCCCCATCGTGGAAGGCTGTGGAGTTGGGGATTGTAGGCAGGGAGGTAGGTGAAGAGGGCCAGCAGGAGCAGACTGGGTGGAGGGGATAGTGCTACATGTGCTCCCCCCTCAAGAATCCCAGGAGATCCCCCCTCGCCCCCCCCCCCGCCGTGCCACAAACGGAGGAATCGTCACAAATGTGGGCTCAATCACACGCGATGCAGGGCCACCACAGGAGCAGTCACCTGTTCCAGCCCCTGCTACAGTGGCTGGCCTCGCACAGTGTGCGAGGACAGTGGTGGACAGCGTGGCACAGTGGGGTCCATGGGAGGCAGAAGCAGGGGCCCCAAGAGGGAGAGGCTCATGGCGGGCAGCTAGTAAGTGACAGGGTAGCCCTGGACCTGGGAGGCCTCCCTCCTGAGTGAGGTGGACGCTCTCGAGTCACGTGTGCCCTACGCTTTGGTTTCTAGGGGCTGTTCGGGGACATTTGGGGTAGTGGATCCTCCTGGCTCAGGGGCACTCACAGGGTTCCTGGACAATCCTCCTGGCCCTTGCCAGAAGCCCCTTCCCATGAAAGGTGAGGGAAGGGAGGAAGAGAGAGGAAATGAAATGCAGGAGAGGAGTGGGAGGGGATGGCGGTGATATGACAGGGAGCGGAACAGGGGGTTGAGGAGACAAGATGGCACAGGAGAGACGAGAGAGAGAGAGAGAGAGAGAGAGAAGAGAGAGAGAGAGAGAGAGAGAGCCAGCACAGGTGTGAGGGAAAAGCAGTCTGTGTGAAGAGGAGAGAGAGTGGTATTTGGGGTGAGATGTGTGTATGAAGGGGTTGAGGGGCTCCACAGTGCTCCTAGGAGGCCCCTGGTAGCTGCTGTTCCCTCTTTTCTTCACCTGGGCCTCAGGCCCCTGACTCCTCAGCGCTGCCGGCACATGGTGGCTGGGGCATCATGGGGTTCGCCTCTCCCCCAGGCTGCTGGGGCTCTGATTGGCATGCTCCTGGCTGCAGCTCCACCTTCCTGCTTCCTGGGCCGCAGCAGCCCCTCGCACAGGGAAGTCTGAGGAGGGACAAGTGCCTCCCCCAAAGAAGGCGTTTTGTATGTCATGAAGTGACACCATGTGGGTTGGTGCACGGAACCATACAGTGGGGAGGAGGGTCTGGGCCGGGGAGGGGGCAGCTGGGTAGCTGGGCAGGCCTCTGAGGCACCACCTCCCTGTTGCAGGTACATCCCCTTCTTCCTCATCCTCTTCATGTACTTCAGTGGCTGTTTTACTCCCCCCAGAGGTGAGAGTGCAATGCCAGGGGTGGCCCTGTTCCTGGTGGTGCCCAGTGGCCTATACTACTGGTAAGTGGACATCGGCGTGAGGGGTGGGGAGGGGAGGGGGCACTTGGTGAGCCAGGCAGTAAAAATGTGCTCCTGACCACAGACATGCCGTGTGGCTCCAGGTGAGATTCTCCCTCTTGGGAACCCTGCTTCCTCCTCCATCTAGCAGGGACTGGGGCGTGCTGTGAGTGGCCTCTCTATTCCAGGAAGACAGCCCCGAGTGTGGCCTCGCCATCCTTTGCTCATCTCCTAGAACCCCTGGGCCTCCCTGGGGCTCACAGAATCCACTCTTGAACCAAACCCTTTAGAGCCCTATGGGCCTCAGTCTCCTCCTCTTGAAGAGGGAATGGTCCTGCCTCCTGCCTTCTCTCACAAGATGCTGAGGGATTATAAAACACCTTGGAGATGACAAGGACAGTTAAAGGGGGGTTTCCATGGTTCTCTGTTCCCCTCAGCTCCCTCTCCCTGTTACAGGGGACCAGGCACTTACACTCCTCTGTCACTGGCCCACAGACACAGGCTGTTCCCAGCAACTATGAGCAGAGAAACCCGAAATACATATTTTCAGGTCATCTGTTATTTAAATAATGCCAACAAATTCAACATTAAAAAAATAGGCGTGACCTTTTGCTCAAAGCCGGACCATATATGTGTGTGTGTGTGTGTGTGTGTGGTGTGTACGTCAGTAGTTTCTAGATACAGAATCTAGGTGTGGATAGACCCTCTAGAGTGGACTCTGAGCCCTGGGGGGGCACTGGAGGTCTAGGAAATAGGCAGAGGATGGAGAGGCCACACTCGGGCTGATGTCCCCACGAAGGTGAACTCTCCTGACAAGTGCTTCTCAGAATGCATCCCTGGCATTAAGCGGCACGTGACTGTAACTCTACAAACCAACCCAATACACTGCATGTGGGCAACCCTGCAAGTCTTGTGGTTCCCAAGCCCTCTCCCTCAGAACTGATCTCTGCCAGGGAGGGCAGTCTGGTGTCGGGGTAGAGGGTGGGGCGCAGGCAGGAGGGGGCTGGTTGTCACCCCCTCACCTCAGTACTGGTCTCTCCAGGTACCTGGTCACTGAGGGCCAGATCTTCATCCTCTTCATCTTCACCTTCTTCGCCATGCTGGCCCTCGTCCTGCACCAGAAGCGCAAGCGCCTCTTCCTGGACAGCAACGGGCGCTTCCTCTTCTACTCTTTTGGCCTCACCCTCCTACTTGTGGCGCTCTGGGTGGCCTGGCTGTGGAATGACCCTGTCCTCAGGAAGAAGTACCCAGGCGTCATCTACGTCCCCGAGCCCTGGGCCTTCTACACCCTCCACGTCAGCAGCGGACACTGAATCCCTGGCACCCACCACTGGTGCTTGGCGAGCAGGGGCTAGGCCACAGAGGGCGTGTGCACATGGAGTGTGCTTGTGTGTGCATGTGTGTGTGTGTGTGTGTGTGTGTGTACACATGGCCACATGTGCCTGCCCATGTCTAACTGAAAACATGGATGAGGATATACATGGACTGGGTTGTATGTGTGCGAGCAGATTGTATCATAATAAGACTCCATTGTTTGGCCAAGTTTCTTGTTGGCTCAGATGGTCTCAGGTGGGATTAGTGTTTGACAGCGTGTCTGGGCCGAGATCTGGGCCCTGCCTCCCCATGCACCTGACTGGAGTCAGGTCCCTCTCACTGTCTCTGCTCAGGGCCATTTTCGGTTCCTGGTGGCTGAGCAGAGGCGGCTTGTGTGGGCCGAAGCAAGGCTGGGATTCAGTAGATCCCTTCCCACACTCCTGTTACACCCCGCAGATCCACTCTGACCCTGCTGGCTAGATCGCATAAGTTACTTGAGCTTCTGAGTATTATTGAACAAAGCGTGTCCACTTCTGGGCCTTATCTGTACTCAGTGGCCCCAAAGTGGGTAAGTGTGCTGGTTGCAGATCCTTTTGGACAGCCCTGGAATGGACAGAAAGTTCTATCCTGCCTTGGATGGAGAGTATGCACTTCAGGCCTTACAGGGTGTTAAGCCTCCCTGACATAGGAGCCCGAGGCCAGCCCACTCTCTTCACCGCCAGCCTGATTTTGGAATCTGGCCATGCCAGCTCTCGACCTTCTCCCCACTGCCCCTGTGGGAGAACTGGGGCACGCCCTTCATGCCAGCCTGACTGAGTTTTTGAGCTGCAGCCAAAAGTTAAATTCTTAAATACTCATTCTATTTCCCGAGCCCCAGAAAAGGGAGGCCCCATCCTAACAACACCCCTACTTCTCCCAGGCATTGGGTGCAGGTCCCCTCACACAGCATCAGCCCCCAGCTTCATTCTCCAGCTGACTCTGGCCCACAGCTGCTTGTGGGGCCCAGGGACCTGTGTTGCCTTCCCTGGACCTGCCTCCTCTCCTATGGTCTCAGGGAGCCCCGGCACTTGGATTCTCCTTTCATGTTGAGGTCCCTCTAGGTTCCCCTAAGAGTCCCCTCTAGTCTGCCAGCAGCTTCAGGTGATGAGAGATGGGAATAAAAGTTGTATAGAGCTACATCTGGCTGGTGGCTGCTGCTTGTTTTGGGGGTGGACTGGGTAGGCAGGAGGGAATTCCCTGGAGCTGGGGAGAGAGTGGCAAGTCTCCCCGCAGCAGAAGCCCTGGGTGGACCCAAAGGGCCCACTCAGCTCCTGTCTGGCCAAGTCAGGTGCTGCCACTACCTACTAGCCTTCCATGCTACTTAAGATCCCAGGGTGTAGTTGCAGGGCAAGATGGGGCTCTCCCCTTTATGCCCAGCTCTCTTCAGAGGACTGACTCTGGAAGCTGGGGCGGGGGTGGGTTGGGCAGGAGGAGCCCAGGATACGGCTTCTCCACACCTGCCAATTTGTCACTTCGTCTCCCAGCTTTACTGCCAGCTCCTCCCGGAGGCTGAAGCAGAGAGGGTGCCCTTTGGGGGCGTGGGGAGGCTGGCTTGTTGGAGGTTGGCACTCAGCATTGGGCAAGTCACTTCATTCCCCCAGGGCCTTGGCTCTTGATCTTCCAAGGTCTCAACCTGACCATGCAGCCACTGGAGACTTCCTGGGACTGGTGACATCGAAAGGCGAGAGGGGGGCCGCCGTGGGCTATCTGCCCCACCTGCCCAGCAGCTCATTTTGTTGCTTCAACCCCTGCCCAGGCCCATTCCACAGATGCACCTAACAGACCTCCGAGGGCAGAGTCAGGCCTGCCTGTGTGGGGCCTGAAGTTTATACAGTTTGGGGGGCCCTTGGTAAGAAAACTACCAAGTAGTTGGTAAAATCACTTAGCAAAAAAGTCCTGCTTTTGGGCTAAGAAAGTGAAAAAAATTAGGCATGAGAGTGAATATGGAGAATGGGAAAACTAATCAGCAAATTATGGGTGCCTTGGGAATGCATGTGCCTCCTGACTCAGATCTCACTGGACAGTTTCCTGGAAACATTTCCCTAGAAATACCTGATGGTATTTCTAGAAATACCTGATGGCAACCTGGCTTTGCTGCACCTGGAAAATGGCCAGTGGCCCTGACCACTGGCGGCAGGCAGAATTAAAATTCTTGCCCCCTTTCACTCTCAGGGTAGAGCCCTGTGGGGTAGTAGAATCTCGGCCCTTCAAGTGACATGGGGGGCTGTTTCTGTTCCCATGTTGGTTTGAGGAATGGCAAACACACAACACAGTGAGGGCTACTAGATAGATTTTTGTAGAAAGAGCCCATTCAAGTGGTCACCACCCCACACGGGCTTTCAATCAACACCTTGGCGCCACCTAATGTAAGGGCTCAACAGCAGGGTGTGTGGGTTGGGATGCCCTTGGGGGCGCTTAGCCCCACACTGACCTAGATCCAAGGAGATACCTGTCTTCCTCAAGAGCCTGGCCCAAACACAGGGTAATTTGGAGTGAGCACCTTGGCCTGACCCCCCAGGCTTCTCTACTAAGCTCAACTCTGTGCCTCTACCCTTGCAAGGCCCCACCCCATTTTCCTCTCCTTCTCCCTCAGGGCTGTTATGGAGAAGCTCCCCTCCTCTCCCACCTCCTACAGCCTGGCAGGCTTCCTCTCAGCCTCAGGAGGAGGGTCACATCCTCCAGCTGAAATTCTCTGGCTTTAGAAACAGGTGTGAAGAGGTGGATCTGGAGACATGTTTTGGGAGCTAAGAGAACTTTCCACAAGAAAGGAGGGAGTGGGGGGGAATGGAGAAAAAGCAGACGCAGGCAGTCCTTAGGCCTTGCGCAAGAGGTCCCTTTTCCTCTGGGCCCTCACAGCTCCTCCCCTGGCCTTGTGTGCCGGTCCTGACAGCAGAGCCCCCAACTGGGGCAGCCAGCAGCTTCACAAAAGGAGAAGGGTGAGAACCCAGCTGTGCCCAGCGCTGCAGCTCCAGGGACACACCCCACCTGCCCTTACTTCTGGAGAGTGGGCAGCACAAACCACCGAGGAAATGGGCAGTGCCAGCAGCTTCTGCCGGAAGGGATGGGCTGCTGGTGAGAGAGGAAGGAAAGGAAGAAAAGGAGGAGGCTTCCTGGCTGGGAAAGGTCACCTCTAAGCCCTCCCTCTGAGCCTGGGCGGTCTGGTCTGCTGTGGGGCCAGAGAGGACCACCCAGTACCTCCTACCCCCCTTTTGGATACTCTCAACAGCTCTGTGATGCAGTCTGGAGAGGAAACAGGCTCAGGACAGCAACATGACCTGCCAAGCTCACTCAGCACTTGGGCATAGGGCCAGCCTGAGAGCCCCCCAGCCTCTGTGTCCGTCTCTACTGTGTCACAGGCTTTGGAGGAAGAGGCCTCTGTTACGGCCCAGCCACCCTGGCAGGTTCTCACTACACGATGGTAGGTGATGAGCTGTAAATAAGACAAATTGCAAAGTGCCCAATGTCTGGTAGGAACTTGGTAGCTCCCAGCTTGGTCCTGGGGGGAGAGAGAGAAGGCCCCCTGAGACAGGCCCAAGGCAGGACCCAGGGCTACACCCCTGTGTGTGTTTCACTGACCTTTTCTCAGTGTCCAGAGGGAGCTCAGGAAGCAACAAGGGTGTTTGTCCATTTGCTACAGAGCATCAGCTGCCCGACACAGGATTGAGTCCTGGGGGAGCCCCTTCTGCAGCCTCATCTTCTCAAGCCTTCCGTGGGGCATCAGCTGTGCACAGGAAGCTGGAATCTGACCCCTGGCATCAGGCCCGGTCTCCATGGCAGCTGAGGATTTATTACTGGAGCCTCCACCCAGCTTGGCGGACTTTCGACTTGAAGCTGAGAGGAAGAGGAACTGGGAAGTTGCTTCTGGGAGCAGGAACCCAGGGGTGGCAGCCAGAGGCCCCGTGATGGTAAGTGGGGGTCTGTGTCACCTAGCCAGGCTGGCCTGGGCTGCGAGGGGTGCTTTCATGAGTCCTTCCTAATGGTTTTCCTCTCTCTGCTGCAGGCCAAGTTTCTTTCCCAGGACCAAATTAATGGTAGGTTGGGTTTGCTCTTTAATTAGCAACTCACAGCAAAATATGGGTCTCATTAGGCAATTTGCTTCGCTCATTCTTGTTGGTGGGAAGGAAGGCGGCTGGTGGGAGAGCAGGCCCACCCACGGGCACGGGCAGGCTGCTGCCCAGGGAGGCCCCAGCCCAGTGGGGTAGGGGGTGAGGCTCAGAGGTAGAAACGTCAAAGATGTTACCTTTGTCGGTGTGATTTACAAGTGCGGGTAGGAGAGAGCTCACTAGGTTTTTCTGCAGGCCCTGAGAGTTGGATTTGGGGCAGTATATGGAAGGACAGATGCAGGGCTAAGTTGGAGGTAGAAAGAATCACCTTTCACTAGCTGTGGCTGAGGGCCGAACAGAAGAGGTGGGGTTTGAAATTGGCAATGATAGAGAGTAGAGCCCGTCGGACAGGATACTTCTATTTTCTGGGCCTCAGTGTCCCATCTGTAAGTGGGAGGTCAGCGTAGGTGGTATCTGAGGCCCTCGCCCTGGTAGCAAGCCTAGTTTTGGTGATGTGGGCACTGGAGTGCCTGCCCCTCCCCACCCCCCCAAGGAGGCTTCAGTTCTGCACAGCACACAGAGCTGTTTCCACAAGGCCAAGGGCAAGGGTCCAGTTACACTGAGCTTGGGGCCCAGATCCAGGCCAGCAGGAGCCCGGCAGAGCCCAGCTAGGGCTCCCGCAGGTGCTGGAGGTGGGCTTAGGGTTGCCTGGGCATGGATTCCAGAGTTCTTGATTCCCGGAGCTTGATCTAGAAGGACGAGTTTGTGGGTGAGTTCCAGATTCCAAGGGGCACTTCCGCATAGACCCTGGATCTCCTTACCCCAACAGGAGGGCCAGAGCAGGGACTTTTAAAACACTAGGCCCAGGGAAGGGCTCCTCTTGTCCAGGTGTAACAGCAAGACTGAGTGGGTCTCAGGGCCAGCAAGGACTGTCAGCCTCAGTGTCCCCTCACCCCTGCCCAACACCTGGCTCTGAGACTCACTGACCCTTCTCTTAGGGCCTCAGGAGGGAAACAGGGAAGCCTCCCTTTGTATTCTGGTGTCTGACACCAAGAAAGTGGCCACTTCATGAATGGATGAAAGTGGCCTGGGGGGTGGGCACAACAGGGCCTTGGAGGTAGCCGACCTGGGGTACAATCACCTCTGAGCCTTAATTTTTTCATCTGTGAAGTGGGGATAATGTCATCGCCTCCCCAGGCTGCTGTGAGTGAGGTGCAAAGGGGATCATGTTGGTCAGACGTCTGATACTAGGCCTGGCACAGCCCTAGTGGCACCAGACAGTCTGAGGAATTTTGCAAGCTGGTTGTTAAAATCAACCATTAGTAAAACATGGAGGATCAAACAACGATCCAGTGCAACAGAGTTGTGTTCATTGGCATAGAGCTTCATTTGCCAAATTGTGGTCAAATCAAAACTCTAGGTTGACAAAGGGTAAGAGAACTCACAGAACCCTTGTGATAATCAACTGGCTAGATGGAATTTATAATGATGAATATTGCACATTTCTAAATTATTTGTAAGATTTATAATGAACTGAGGTATATAGATCAGCAGAGCCACCTGGTACGTGTCCCCAGCACACCACTAGCATTTTCCTAGGAGCCAGGAGGTTCCTTTCCTGTCCTGGGGCCTTTGCATTTTCAAAGGGAAGAGCTCAAGGGGGTGTTTAATTCAATTCATTGAACCCAATTTAGTCTTTCATTCAACAAATATTTGTGAGCCCTGGCATTGGGACTGCCCCGTTCTGGACCTTAAAGATCCTGCAGTGAACACAGAATGCAAATCCTTGTGCTCCTGGTATTCACCTTCGCAGGAGGAGAGGACAGGAAAGGAGTAAACTGGATAGGATGCTGGAGGGCTGAGCCATCATCCCCTGCAGGAGGGAGAGCAAGGGGGTGTGGAAGTAGAGGTAGGGGTAAGAGAACAGCCCTGTTGTCTTGTTCTAACTCCGGAACCCCAAGAGCAGATCTGGCCTTCCAGAGCTTTAGAAGGTGTATTGGCCAAGGCAGAAGACAGACATAGTTTATGGAACAACTTATTAGACCAGCCTCTATTTGCCCCTGGTCCTGCTGAAGTCATGGGCCATGGGTCCCCAATTACTATGCCTGATATGAGGGGCAGGGCAATTTGCCCGTTGTTGAACAAGACTGATTCCAGGCCCCAGGTGTGTCCTGGCTGCCTTCAGGCACTGGTGAGGGCCGGGGGACAGGGAGATGGGGATGACAGTCATAGGATAAGGCCTCAGGAGGGCAGCAAACCCTGGCAGGAGACAAGGTGAGATGGTCCTGAGAGGACACCCACCAGCAGCAGGCTGGCCGCCCTCGGGTCCACTGGTACTGCAAGATGTAGAGTTGTTCCCACTGGCACTGGCCCTCTGGAGGTAATTAGTCCTGGCAGGAACCAAAGAGGTCTTAGGCTAGGCCCTGACCTGCTGCCCCTAGACCACGCTGTTCCCTGCTGCCTGGTCCTGTCTTTGTCTGCCCCTCTGGAAGCTGATGTCTGGGCTCTGGAAAGTTCTGAAAGTGTGTGTGGTGAGGAGGGGGCTTCCCTTTTAACCTCTCCACAAAGGCCATTAATTGTCTCTACCCCCACCCTGAAGGCCAGCTTTTTATTACCTGGCAGAAATTCTAAGCTGCCAAGGGGAGGCCTTCATTAGGGAGCACCAAAGGGCCTTAGGCCAGCCTGAGGGGTGGGGAAGAATTCCTCTGCCTCTCCTCCCCAACTCTGCTGTCCTCTGGTAGCTTCTATCTGGGAATCAAGATCCACGGGCGAGCTGTGTTTCAGGAGCTGTTCCCCAGCTGTCCCTCTGTGGCCCATCTCCACCCGGGAGCAAGGAAGGCCACACCTTGTGGGGTCGCTGCGGGATCACACAGGCCCGGGGATGAAGTGTCTGCCAGTGGGGGCAGTCGTCATTGTTTTTTCATTATTACCATCAGCTCAGGAGCAGTTGATCCCAGGGAGCACCTGGCGGTGAGAGAAGCAGGAGAGATGGGGCTGGAGGCTGGTACAGGGCTAGGCAAACTCCCCTGAGGGACTCCAGCAGTGGCCCCAGTCACCTGGGGAGCTTCTGACCAATTCTGAGGGCAGCCCCACCCCAGTCCCTGAATCAGGCTCTGAAGGGGGCCTAGAGATCTCCCCTGGGCTCACCTGTCCCCTCATGTCTCCTGGGCTGGGAGTCCCAGACAAAGTGCAGGTGGCAGTGCTGTGGGGCTGAGACTAGATCCAGAGGAGCCTGAGCTCAGGCAACCTTTTCATCTTCACCAAGTGCCAGGGGAGAAGGAGCTTGGGAGAGCAGCAGGCCCCAGCTAGACAGAGTGGGGAGCCTAGCAGCGCCCCTGAGGAATGGGGCAGCTTGAGAGTTAGGCCAGGGTTGGAGCAGCCGACACAGAAGTGCCCACAGTTGATATAATAACTGTCACCACATTTAAGGGCCCCTCTCTGCCTGGCCTTCCCAGAGGGAGTTTCTGGTCTTTTCATTAACCCGGTTTCCCAGAAAAGTTGTCTCAGCAAAGGTCTCCTGGGAGCATGGACGCCCTGCTGTGGACTCGTGTCTCACCAGGCTGGCCCTAGAGGATGAGAAGGCTCTCCTGTGACGTTAGTCAGCTGTGGAAGGGAGAATGGAAGGGGCTGGGGGTGAGGAGAAAGGAGGGAAAGGGAGGAAGAAGGAACAGAAAGGGAGAGAGAAGGAGAGACAAAGGGAAGTCAGGAGAGGGAAGGGCTAGGGTTGCGGGATGAAATACAGGACACCAGGTAAACGTGACGTCCAAGCAAATGCTTTTTTTAGTATAAGTACATCCCATGCATGGGTGGGAGGGGAGGGATTGGGGTCAGAATGGGGGGGCTGCAATTGTATGGGGAATATAACAATAAAATTTATTTAAAAAAAAAGAAAAAAAAAAAAAAAAAAAAAAAAAAAAGAAAAAAAAAAAAGAAAAAAAAAAAGTACATCCCATGCACAATTTGGGACATACTTATACTAAAATGGCATTGTTTATCTGAAATTCTGTTTCACATGATGGTGGTGTGGTTTTGTTCGTATATCTGGCAACCCTAGGAGGGGTGGCTGGGAGGGGGAGATAAGGGAGGGGGTGGGGGTGGGGTGAAGAATGGGTGGACGGACTGACTCTCCCTCTGGGCTGTGTGCAGAGTACAAGGAGTGCTTCTCCCTGTATGACAAGCAGCAGCGGGGGAAGATAAAAGCCACCGACCTCTTGGTGGTGATGAGGTCCCTGGGGGCCAGTCCGACACCGGGGGAGGCACAGCGGCACCTGCAGACTCAAGGAATAGGTGAGTGGGCCGGCCAGGCTGGGGCCGCAGCAGAAGCAGCCTGGGCTGGTGGATGGGGCCTGCACTCTGTAGCTGTGGGCCTAGAGGGTGGTGCACTGGGTGGTGCAAAAGGTAGAGTGGCAGCTCAGAAGTTTGAGGGCAGGTGGTCAGAGTTTACAGACAGGGGATGGGAGGGTGTGCGGGTGCCACCAGGCAGTTGGGCTTCCTTGAATCCCTTGACTCTTGAATCCCCAGCACAAGCTGTAACACTCCCATTTCACAGAACCCCAGGATCCACGCATCCCAACGAGGATCACAAACCTCCAGGGATGGCAGTGCCAACCACGATCCTGACGTTGCTTTCATAGGACAATTTCTCTTTATTGAGAATTAGTCCGGTGCTTGGCTCTGGCAACCCTATGAAAAATTTGGGACCTTTTCTCATTGCTCAGGTTCTAAGGCCAATGGTGGAACCCAATTCGGAGTTCAAAGACTGACCTAAAAACTAGGCAACCCGGTGAGAAAGAACCCACCTTAAGTGTTTCCAAGTGGCTTTCTCTGGTGATGGGGTTATGGGTGATTTCCACTCCCATCCTGTATTGTTGCTTCCTGTATTTTTGATATATATATATCCTATATATTTTGTATGGGAATTTGTAACCGCAGACAAACGAATTTTTTTTAAAGATAAAAAAGGGAGGGTGTCAGAGGCTGATGTGGCTGTTTCTGTCAGTAGCTGGACACTCAGGAAGGGAGGGGGTGGCCGGTGAAGAGCACTTGACCCCAGCTGAGAGGTGATTTTTAGTGTCTGGACTTGTTCCTTCACCTTTCTGGTGAGTTCCACTACCTGCCAGGGCTCCGCTGAGGTCCCATCAGCGCTACCCTGCTGTGCTGTAGTGCAGGGCCATCCAAGGGCAGGCCAGGCTGGACAGGGGACTGGGCCTCTGAAGGCCTGGAGCCCAGTGCTGGAGACCCCTTTTTCCAGCTCCAAAGGGGAGGTGGTTTCCTTCGGTTTCTGACTCCTCCAAACAGGAAATTGTGATCAGGGGAAGTTCCAATTTCCTGCAGTGCTAGGCTGGTCAGGGCCTGGACAGAGCTCCCCGGCGTGCTGGGAGGAGTGGCGCGGGCTCGGGAGGCCAGGTGGAGGGCGCATGAGGGGAAGTCAGGGGAACTGCCCCGCGGGGCTGGGGCTTAGACATCCCCCCATCCTTGTGGAGGTGGCCGCCAAGGGGAAAGGGACCTGCAGACATGGCTCTGGTGGTCAGGGCAGGCAGGAAGCATCTGGAAGGGACCAGACGAGGTGATGCTTCTTACTTATCCTGCCACTCCTCTGAGAGGTGACTCCACACTCAGAGTTTTTGTCTCCTTAGTGGGCAAGATGGGATGATGACAGCCATAAAACCTGAGGACAGTGGGAGGAGTGAACAAGGCGTGTCCATGGGGGACCTCAGTGGGAAGGACTGCATCCTCGCGGTGACCACTGTCACCAGCTGCCTGAATTTTGTGGCCCTTGACTTGGCTGTGAAGACTTGGGTTAGTTAGTTGGCTACCCGTCAAAGAGCCTTTTCTTCCCTGCTCACTCTGCTGTGTTGGGGGTTTTCCCAGACAGAAATGGAGAGCTAGACTTCTCCACTTTCCTGAATATTATGCACATACAAATAAAACAAGAAGACCCAAAGAAAGAAATTCTTTTGGCCATGCTGATGACAGACAAGGAGAAGAAAGGCTACATCATGGCTTCTGAACTGCGGTCAAAACTCACAAAACTGGGGGAGAAACTCACCCACAAAGAAGGTAACAGCTGGGTCCCTTTTTTCTTTTTAAGATTTATTTATTTATGCATACAAGAACTGGGGTGCAGACCAGAGGTGAGGGTGGTGAGAGGATTCATCAGAGACCGAGCAGGGAACAGAACAGGTGGATTCACTGAGATACACTGCTGAGGGGAGCAGCGGGTGAGCATGAGAGGTCTGCTGTGCCATGTGGGTTGCTCCTGACCGGCTGGGGATGAAACTCATGCTGCAGTGGCTGGCAACAGCTTGATCGCACTGTCCTAACCCCCGTGCCACCAGGCAGGCCCCTTTCTCAGCAGTGGAAGATTAGGGAGTTGGTGGGAGCCCAATCCATGCCACCAGGACTGTGCAGGCCCTACCTTCAATGCATGTGCGGGAAGACTGCAACTAGGTGTCAAGCCAAGTGAACTCTGGAACTCAGAGGGAACTAGAGGCCTGGGGGTGAAAGGGGATAAGCCTGCCAGGAGGAAAGGATGGTCCAGGGAAATCCAGGTATGCTCCACTCGGGCCTCTCCCTGCCTTTAAGGTTTCACTTTGTGCTTGGACACCTCTGGGAACACCGGTGCCCCCTTTATACTGCCGAAGAGACAGGTGAAGTAAGTGGCTTTTGGGTGGATGAGCTGGGAGTGGGTCTAGTAGACACTCATCACTGCCCTCGCCCAGCTCATCTCAGGCTCTCACTACCGCTGTCCTCAGCGCAGGTGCCGAGTTTCCAAACTGAGATGCCATTTTGCTCCCTTTCCTCATGACTCACAGGCTCTAAGCCCTTCCAGAAAGGGTGTTGGTGGTGGCCTCAGTTGGAACTGCTGGTCACAGAACCCCACGGGGCGGCCTCTGCCTCTACCTCCCAGCAACCAGCACACTCCCTGTCTCAGAGCAGGATGAGGAGGCTGGGTCTTCTAGAAAAGGGCAACCCCAGTCCTGGGTTGTTGCTGGTGTTCTGCCAGCCTGCTGGGCTAGCCCCTCGCTCCTGCCGCAGCAGCCTCCCCTGGTCTGCCGCCAGAGTTTGCATCCACCCACCCCAGGGCCTGGGACTTCTACTTAGACTGCAGGGCTTGCCTGTGGTTGGGACCGGAGGGCCAGGTTTAGGAACAGGCTCCAGTAATGATGGCCCTTCAGCCTTCAGTTAAATCACAACCAGTCCATGGCAGGCTTTGCAGGGTTGTGATTTGAATTACGTCTGAATCCTGGCTCCCCCTCATTCTGGTGAGGCCCAGCCAAGTTTCTTAACCTCTCCCCCCACCACCCCGTCCTCGGTTTCCTCATTGGGAAATGCGGTTACAATAGACAGTCCCTCAGGTCCCCGCGGTAGCTAACATTCTGTAAGCCAGTCTGCTTAGATCTGATCTGCAGTCACAAAGGCACAGTGCAAAGCATTTAAAAATAGCCCCACAGAAGGCAGATGCAGCTTCCCCCGCTTTTTCAGGCTGGCAGCTAACACCATCTCCTCTTTCATTGCGGCTGCTTGGATGGGAACACGGGAAACGTGGGCTCTCCTTCCCTCTCAGGCTCTGAGGACACCGCTCGACCTTTTATGTACCAGGTGGAGTGTTCGCAGCGAGGGGCAGCTGCGGCCTTCTTTCTCGTAGTTGACGATCTCTGTCTAAAGTGATACCACAGGCCCCAGGCCCGCACACCTCCTCATTTGTTTAACCAGTAAGGAAACTGATTCACAGAAACTGTTTATGTGTTCCAGAAGAGCAGGGACATTAATTTTTTCTCCTCTTGCTGTGGGAGGCAGAAAGAGGACACTAGAAGTAGAAATCTTTTGCCCAAGGTGATGGAAAGAAAATCTTCAGTTTTAGCCTCAGAGAAGCCTCAGAGGGCTGCAGGGAGGCCGTGGCCAGCTGATTTCAGCATTCTGGTTTTTTATGGCTTCAACAGAGTGACCCTCCTCCTGTCAGGTACCTCCTGCAGGTGCTGGCACCGGCTCTGAAGCGCTGCTCCTCTCGTGGGCAGGAGGCTGTGGTGGCTGGCTTGGAGCTGGTGTTGGGAAGTCTGTTGAGATGTTTGTGTTTTCTGAAGATTTATTTATGCATACAAGAACTGGGGCACAGGCCAGAGGTACGGGGGGTGAGAGGATTCACCAGAGACAGAGTGGGGAACAAAACAGGCAGAGTGACTGAAATACACTGCTGAGAGGAGCAGCGGGCAAGTCAGGAGAGGTCTGCTGGGCCATGTGAGCAGCTCTCTGGCCGGGGATCGAACTCATGCTGCAGTGGCTGTGGATAGCTTCATAGGTTGCATCTTAACCTCTTGCGCCACCAGGGAGGCCCTCTTGAGATGGTTTCAACCCAGCAGTTCAGGGGTAGAAGCTTCTCCATGAAATGAGATAAATTAGTCTCAACTTTCTAAAAATACTCAACTACTATCTAGAGCACACTAATTACATTTTAGAGAAGGATGGGTAAGCAGAGAATCACTGGCTATTCTCTAACTGCCCAGAATTGGGTCGTGGGGTTGTGTAGGGCAGGGGAGTCGACAGGGCAGTTAGACAATTTTTGCAAGAGGATGAGGATGGAGCCATGAGCCAAACACAGGGTGGCACCCAGAGGTCACTGCAGAGAAGCTGGAATGGCTCTTCTTGCCAGTGCTTGGGACAAGCTAGTATTTTGTCCCAGGAAATCAGAACCAGAAGAAACAAGTAAATGAAATGACTTTTTTTGAGCAACATCTGAGAACAATGACAGTTTTGTATGTTTTAAGCTTTAGACACAGTCGAATTCATTTTCTCTCATGCTACCCCCACCCCTGAAACATACACTTTTTAAAAAAGAGGTGTCGGTGGCAGACACCACTTGTCACTAAGTCCTGTCTTGTAGTGGGGCAGGGCTGGTGGGAAATGCTGACTTGGAAGGAAAGGCAGGCAGGACAGGGGCAGGCCAAAGCCTGGGCTGGAGTGGCCAGGGTGGAGCTGCATAGGGTATCTGCTGTGCTGGGGAAGTCGGGGAGAGAGGGTGGGCCATGGGTGTTGAAGGTAAAATCCTTGGCAAAGGTTCCTCGAACTACGGCACAGGGTCACAAATTTTTCTATTAAAAAGATAAAAATTGGGCCTCCCTGGTGGCTTAAATTGGGCCCAGGTGGCCTCCCTGGTGGTTTAAAACACAACCTATGAAGCTGTCCGCAGTCTCTGCAGCACCAGTTTGAGCCCCTGGCCGGCCAGAGAGAGACCCACATGGCACAGCAGACCTCTCCTGACTTGCCCGCTGCTCCCCTCAGCAGTGTACTTTGGTCAGTCTGCCTGTTTTGCTCCCCACTTTGTCTCTGGTGAATCCTCTCACCCCCCCCCCACACTTTTGGCCTGTACCCCAGCTCTTGTATGCATAAATAAATCTTAAAAAAATAAAAAGACAACAATTAAAAAAAGCAGAAGGTGGCTCCAGCAACTAAATCCTCACCAGAACACCTCTGTCCCTACCCCAGCCCCTGCAGAAAGTCCAATTAACTCAAAATTAATTCCAAGTGGTCTCCAAGGCGTAGGAGGTGGATTCTGTCCTGTTCACTGGTTTACTTCCTGGACTATGGGAATCATCTATTGGACACTCAGGGAAGACCTCTGGGGAGCCCCAGCCTCCAAGAATTCAATGTCCTACAACCTAACACTAAAGCCAAACTGAAAAATTAATGTGATTTATTGCAGTGGATGATCTTTTCAGGGAAGCGAATATCGAACCAAATGGCAAAGTGAAGTATGATGAATTCATCCACAAGATCACCATTCCGGCGCAGGACTACTGAATGGAGAATGTAACACAGCCTCCCCTGGGCCTGAAGACTCAGACTGATTAATTTTTAAAAAGAAAAGTATTCTTTTCACTCTAGGGAGTTGGCAAACAGCAGCAAGATGACATTATCCAATGGTAGAAGATAGCTTAGCAATGAAATGATTTCAGTCATGTTAATAGTATGTCTCTAATAAAAGATTTTTATTGATTTTAATAACACCCATTAGTCTGGTCCTTTACAGCATGGAACAAGCCAATGGTTTGGAGTTGGGCCTGGATTCCAGTCCTGACTCTTGTTTCCCAGCTATGTGACTTCGGGCAAATCATTTTACCCCTCAAAGCCACAGGGTCCTCACTCAAGTTGATTCCCACTTCTTACCTCATGGAGCCTATTGGGAATGGTCTGTGATAATCAGTTAAAAATGCCTTTTGCAAACTGCAGCGCACGATGCAGTCCTGAGTTACCATGGGAGAGCTTCTCCTAAAAAGCACAATCAACCAAAAGACTGTTCTGTATTCTGGCGCTGGAACCACCTCCCAAGTTTCCAAGGTAAAGCCAGTGCTAGTTGAGAAATAGTAACAAAGAACTCAAACGAACGAAAACTATGGCAACGTTTCTGGCAGTGCCACAGGGTCACTTAGAAATTCTTCCCATCTCAACACAAAATGACATGGCTCGGGATATCCACTCACACACAGAGGCTAGGGTGAAAACAATAAAACAAGCAGCTTTGGTTAAAGTGGGCACAGTGATCTGACTTTACAGCCCACATCAAAGGAGACCAGATGTGACCCATGCTCACTGAAGCAGAGCAGTGCTGGGGAGAGGGGGGAGCCCTTTCTGTTGTTTCTGCCAGAACGCTGAGCCCCCTCTCCCATTTTCAGAGATTGGGGAGCCTAGGATGGTCCAGTCAACTGGGCTGAATTGATCAAGCCATTTCCTCAGGACTAATGGAAAGTAGGGATGTAGCAGGCCATGGCCCTGGTAGAGAGCCCTGGCACGATCGTGGGTGTACTGGTCCTGCTGAGTAGCTTTTCTAGCTCAACAGGGTTTTTAAAAGTTAGAGAACCAGGAGGTGCCAGGCTGGTGCTGCCCGTACACTCATGGCCTTTGTGGATCCATCCATGGTAGTGCAGCCCTAAAAAGGGGTGGGATCACACAGCAGTGTATGTGGAGGGGGTGGGGTGGGGAGGCACAGGGCACTAAATACAGAGTTTTATCCTTGTATCAAAATTGGCCCTTGCAGCTTTGTCTGATGGTGCCCGAGTGGCTAAAGCAAAATAAAACCAAATTAAGAGGAAGGTGTACCTTGGAGGTTATACAAAACACAAATCTAAGGGCTGGGCACAGGGGAAACTGCAGGGGACAGTACAGTCTGGGTGCAATGTGTGCCGCATGATGCTGTGTTGCTTCCACCAACCCACAAAGGAGAGGTTGATTTTCCCAAGTTTAACTGTCAGCCGAGTGAGTAGGAAATCCTGAGTTGCAGAGAAGTAATAGGAGGTGTGGGGGTGTTGGTGGTAAATGATCCCAACACCAAGTAAGTGAAGAAGTGAAGTTATAATCATCTAGCTGGGGAGCTTCTCAACATACTGTGGGGGCCGGGTAGGGGGGAAGAGAGGCACACCCAGGTTTTGTTGGGTCTGAGGCTTATGGGACCTGGTGGTCTTCTTTAGGAATACAAAAATAGAAACAATTGCTAGGGCTGCTCCTAGGATCCAGGTAAAGGTTGGAGCTAATGAGGGGCCCTTGTGCCCCAACTTCATTACCTTCATGGAAAATGACCAGCCCCCACCCAAGAGCTAGTTCGACTTTGGTGCCCCAGAGAGAACTGCTCTAGTTCACTTTCAGGCAAGGTTAGAGAGCACGAGAAGTAACTCTTTGTGGATGTTAGGAAGTGCTCCAGCCAATTTGACAGGAGATATTTAGGATTTAGATGGGACAAAAGTTCTGGGTTATGATAATGAAGGTAAACCCCTCGAAGTGATTTTTGTCTCTATATGTCACTGAACGGTCTTAGTTTTAAAGTTTAAAAGTCAGTTTTACTAATCTCATTTGCCTAACAGGAATCTTCAGTATAGCTTGCCAGAAACACAGTGTGGCGTGGACATTAGAACCTTGGCCCACTCCCCTGCCTCAGGGCTCCTAATTAGGCTGCTCCTTGCCGAGGAGTCTAAGCTCCAGTGTGGCATTCGGATTTAAACCTCTACCCCAGGAAAGGCTTTTACACTACCCCATGTCCCAGTTTCATGCTCATTCCTGAAATTCCAGCTGGCTTACCTAGTACCTAGTGTTGTTTACAAAAAAGGCCACAGTACTCTTAGAGCACTCACACGGCAGATAAGCAAACAGATTTAAAACTAAACAGATGCTGTGGTTCATTACAAAGCTAGCCATATTTCAATAAGAAAGGGGAATGATGGTGTATATTCATTACTTACCTCAAAGCATGGTGCAAGAGAATGAGTTACTTAGTCATGCTTTGAAATCTCTGGATGAAAGGTGCTTTGGAAGCACAAAGCATTATCACTTTTCACAGGGACTGTCCCCTTGTATACCCAGCAGTATATTTTACAGAAGACAAATTAACTGAAGGCTTTTCTTTTATTACATCTAAAGAGCTCTACATAAACAGGTAACATTCAATAGGTAAACAATTTTTTTTCAATGCATGTAATAAATATTTTCACTTGGTACTTTTATACAAACTGACATTGGTCTACTATACATTTTTAAAAGCCATTTTACTGGTTTGGCATGCGGTATGGAAATCCTAAGAGAAAGTTTTAAGGCAATGAATCACAGATTTAAGTTCATGGAATTTATGGTAACTTTTATATCTGTTTATATACATTTTCCCCTTTGTTAATTAAACAATTAACAGCAGCGCACTCTGGGACCACCAGCTATTCTCCCTCCCTCGTTCCGAAATCTAAGCTTTGTGTTTTTTAAATAAAAAAGAAAACAAAAACAGAATTCAACATGTATAGATAAAGCAATATTCTTACTGAAATAATTCCAAATGTGCTTAAAGTCTTGAAGATCTTAAAAGTGTTTTATGTATTTAAAGTTGGAGTTGTTTAGAAAACAATGTTCTTCCCAAAATTATTAAAGTTGGGATATAGGATCCAATTCGGACACCTGACTCAAAAGGACCATCTGCCAAGAAATCACATTTTAGTAGCCAAAGCGAATCTTTCCTAAGTCAGTAATGATATTGAACTGTGATGTCTATGTTAAAAGCAGCAGAAAATTTTAATGTTCAAAACATATTAGTCAACCAAGTGTGGCCTGGTTAAGGTTCAGATCATTTTAAAAAGATGTGTCTAATGCCCACAAAGTAACCAGCAGCCACTTCAACTCTGCTAGTCCAAGTTACTTATCAAAGGCGTGTGCATGTATGTTTCTACACACACGCTCACACACAGTTCTGTATAGAAGCACAAACACATGCCACACTATTATGAAAGATCAGGCAAGATGGGCGGTGGCAACTTGCTGAAAGACTCTGAGAATTGCTCTTTGTCCATAGACAGCACGTCAATGTCGGCATGGGAGGGTGACTGAGGGTAGGCTAAAGAAAAAAAAGAGATGAAATGACTATGTGCTTTATTTTTTTTTTTAATATATAAGATAAAGATGCAGTGCTTGACTCTACTAGCATTATTACAGATCATGAAAGTCTGACTGACTGAGATCGATCCCGAGACCAACAGAATGACAGCCGCTACTAACGTAACATTTTGGAAGGTCAACAACTGCAGGTAACAAACACCTTAGTGGAATGAGCTAAAATAAAAAGACAACTGAATGGTTATTTTCTCTTGGAGACATGACCAAAACCACTAGACAGACATTTATTTCTTCCTATTACGTGTTCTTCCCTTAGGTTGGTATAATGCAGGATGCTGAGGGAAATGAACCCTCACTTAAAACTGGGCTGAAGAAAGTAGAGGGATGGGTTTTCAACTGGATCACTCAAAGAGTTTGGAATTAGGTATCAAACATAAAGTGATTGATCAGAATTTTCAGACCACTAACCATGACAGAAAAAAAAAAACAAAACAAACAAGAAATAAAGAAAACTATTCATATTTTATCTTAGGTAGCTGAATTACTAGAAATGTTTCCTATTACAATGTGAAATAAGGAGAAACTCCCCACAATTTATGTAATTTCTATCCCAATCTGAATTTAGACACAAATTATAACACTATTAGTATTAGCCTAAGTTAATATGGCAATAACAGTTCTTAAAGTATTTACCATAACACAAATTCCTTTTAAAACTTAACTATCTCCTGTTTTAACCAACAATGAAGATTTTTATTGCAAATTGTTTAGTGACTATAACTCAGCCATGTATGTGTGGAATACACATGCGTAGGGGAAGACTATAATAACTCACTGTCACTCACACACATTTGTCTATAAATACATATATACACACACACATATACATATCAACACCAACTTGTTTTTCAAAATTCAAGTCAACAATTTAGTGGCAGAGATGCTGTAAAAACAGGTATTATTTTTCGACGCCACATAGTCATGAGAACTGTTAATTTTATCATACAACTGAAGATACAGCCATCTTGAATTCTACCTGGATTAAAGTAGGTCATTTTGTTACCACTGCAAGGTTAAAATGATAATTTTATACACAAAGGTGGTCCTTCATCAACTCTGAGAATAATAACAGCTGTGAAATAAAAATCCAGTCTGGAAAACTGGTAATCATTATGCTCCTTCTTTATCTTTTCTGTTAATTAAACCTGCTAAACCTTTCATTTAACTAAAAAATATCTTCCACACCTTCAAGTATTACCTGAAGAATGGAATAGCTTCTCTGATGAGGATTTTGGAACACAACTAGAACCACTTTTCCTTCTCTTCAATCTTTATTCATGTCCTGAAAAACAGTTTTCAATATATTTACATGTTCCATTATTAGTAAGAATAGATCAGACTGATCCATAAACTCTAAAAACAAAGAACTTTCCTATGTCATGCTTGTCTTTAAAAAGTAAAGAAAAACTAAAACAAGCTATAGCTAGGCTAAGAAAATAAGTATACTCAGAACTAGTGAGTAAAAAAGACTAAGGATCAAGCCCATTTTGAATTTCAACTGTTTATCAGATAGATTTCTACAGATTGATATTTGTGGTGCACTGTATTTTCTAAACAATTTACTTTTAGGACAACTGTCTTTCTTTTTTGAGGTGATGTAACTGTACCTCTGTCAGCTGTACAAGACATCCAACAGGGCTCTCTAAGCTGTTTTTACTGCCTACTTTGGTATGAAGATCTTACAGGAAAACTTGTTACCCTATGGCCAAAAAAGCAGGTCTTCACAGACTTGGTTTAAATACATAATACTGGCAATCCAAATTTAGAATAAGGAACTAAAGTGTATTATTCACAGGCCTGTTAAACCTACTTCTTACCCAGACAGCTTTACTCCAATCTCTAAAACATATTCTCAGGGGGTATCTAGCAAATAAGAGAATATGTGATGGAGAACATGCAATTGGGATAGTCAATAAAGATGCTCATATGTGAATTCAAGACCTTCAAAGCACTTTGAAAGAAGCAAGCAACTGATTTATCAACTGAATGCAAACTTGAGAGAAGAAACAGTAATGACAGAAAAATACACAGACACACACACCGAACACACACACCCACAAGCTATGTTCTGAAAATACATAGGGAATGCAGTTGGACAGATGAGATTTATAACTTAAGGCTGGATAAAATATGCACACACACAAACAGATTCCAAGTCTGTCATTTTTAGAAAATGGAAATTAAAACTATCCCCCCCGAACCCCCTCCCCACAACAAAGAAAAGCCCACAATTTAAAACGTCATACATGCAATTCCTTTCCTGTTATTGCAAATAAAATAATGCCATTGAAGTAAAATTAAACCAAAACCATAGGACAAATGATGAAAAAAAAAAGTCTTCAGAATCCAGAAAAAATGAACTGAAGGTTGTTTGTGGGTACTTGTTTTTTTTTTCTTTTTTTCTTTTCTTTTCTTTTTTTTTGTTTTTTTTTAAACAAGTGTTTTTTCAGACAGGCAGTCTTAGATTTATATACAAAAGTAAAACTGAAAATATAGTTTTGTTCTCTGTACATTTCTTTTAATTTTTTCCCTAAAAAAAGGAAAAAAACACGCTTGTGTACGTTTCTAAACAGTATAAGGTAAAACAGCACAAAGTTCTCTTCTTTCTGCCAAGTTCATTTAATCTGGGGTGGGGTGGGAGCAGCAGGGGCAGGGATCAGTCTAACGAAATAATGTCTGGTATGATGCCGAAGATGGACGCCGTGTCCGTGCTGCTCCTATTTGCGACGGTGTGGCTATGGCTCTCCCTTAGGCTGTTGGAGGACACGAGGCTGCTGTTACTGCCACTACTGCTTCCATTGGTGGTTGGCAGAGAAGTGCTGCCTCCCGCACTTAACTGATCGAGAAACATCTGCGAGGAGGAGGTATATGGGAAAAACCGAGACGGGTGCAAGAGTTCTTGATCATCTGAAACAGCTGCTGCTGCAGCAGCCAGGAGGGAGGTGTTATAATGCTGGGAAGGAGACAAAAGACAAAAAAATGCTAAGTACTACTTATAAATTAATAAATTTTCTTTTCAGCAGAATAAAGTCCTAAATTTAACCAACTCCAAGTAGCTGATGTTTCTGAAATAGTGAATAAGACATTTTTCAAAAGGTCTTGTGTAACTATTGCAATATTGACTTTGAGGGACATTTCTGCATCTGTGAAATTTGGAGGGAAAAAAACCAAACTTACTGCTTTTTAATTTGTATTGGAAGCAATTCTCAAAAGGCAACAGACATTGTGCTAACTATACGCTCAGGCACTGCTGAAACAAAGGGATTTTTATTTGAATTTTAAAAACCTTAACAGTAATGGGTATGACTACTCTGAATTTTCTAAGGGAATTTCTTGGCTTTCCTTGGGTACATATTATACTTTTAACGTACAATTAAAACAGCAGCAATTTTTCAAAAAAAAAAAAAAAAAAAAAAAAGCAGTAATTTTTTCATATAACATACCTGATTGTCTCCTGATAAGAAAGGAAAGAAATCTAATCCTGTGGGAGAAAAATTATTTTAGTTTGGAATAACAAACAAGAAACAAAGAAAACCCCCTCCCAAATGCTCCAGTATTGCAAAAACAAATATAAATCTTAAACGCCAATTCTAAATTCATTTAGAATTTTATTTAAACATGAAGAGTTGAGTTTGGACTTTGCAACCATTTGCCTTCCCCGTGAGCCCTTGTGTGGCAAGTGGACCCTCACTGCCCTGCTTACATCATTCTAACACCCATCCCTTAAATAGGGTCATAGCACTTTTCACAAAAATCTCTCACTGACTTCTCTGAAGTTACCGTTCAGTATATCTAATTTACTCCTCACAGGCACTCATGAAATATATAATTATTTTTGGCCTCATTTTGAAGATGACAGTTTGAAGTTGAAAGAAACAAAGTTGTTAACACAGACTCTCTTTCTCCAATTTGTCCACTTGCTAACAATATCTCTACCAGGTTCTAACTCAGAGATTCTCTGGTATTATTAAAGAGGAGGACAGATCTGAGGGGTGTCAGATTGTTGGGATGGCAGCTATTCTAGAAAATGATTCACAGCAGCCTGGGAGTCACTGCAAACATGCCCCTCCCAATTCACTTTCTTGGCCATATTGCCCAATGTGTAATGTAACCAAGAGCAAGTTAACCAATGTGATTGAATGACTCATTATGACAGCTAACCTTGAGGCAAAGTACAACAAGCAGATGTAGATAAAAATACGATACCAACACAAATATACTGGGATCCACTCACTATCTACATGAGTAAAGATCCTAACGTGAGGATCTGCAAAATGCAGTTCCTGACTGTGACAACTGGCAGTGGCTGAAAAGCAGGACCATAATGTCTAATAGAGCAGTTATTAGTTTCATGATGTGTCTATCTAAATTTACTAAGATTGAGTAAAATGAAAAATTCACTTCTTTGGTCACATTACCCCCCTCTTTCAAATGCTCCACATCTGTATTTGGCTAATGGCTACTGTGTTGGCCAATCTAGATTAGAACACTGTCCTCATTGCAGGAAGTTCTATCAGAGTTGAAATAGGGTTTTCTTAACAATCAATAAGAAGCCACTCAACTATCCCAGTTATATTTTTGTATTAAATTTTCTACAACAAGCACACACACGCACACACACACATATACACACACACATACACACACACACACATCTCTCTTCATAATATAAAAAAGTCCTTAAATCATATGGGTAATATACAAATTAATAAATTATAAATTTATTTAAGTAATAAATTCTTTTTTATAATGTAAATGATTAATACGAACTCAAAATACATTGTACAAATGAGTACACTGACATTTCATACTACTTTTGAAAAGAAGGATCAGGTTCACTAGAACAAAAATTAAGATTTTCCCACATCTTTTTTTAGCATTATCTAAGAGATAGGTAATTATAGTATAATTACCCACAACACCTGCTGTATTATAACTTGGATCAGGTAATAAAAAACTTTTCATAAATATCAAAATTCAAAAAAACATATTGGAAGTTATCCAAAAACAACTTGCAGACTACTTTAAGCTCACGAAACTTTTGTGAGTGTCGCACTAATTTTACCATCAGTGGTAAAATACTGGCTCTTGAAGGTAGAATCAAGGAATTGGATCAATATTATTTATGACCACAGTACATATTTACATAATATAAATATAATATTTGTATATATTATAAATTATATATTTTATATATTATGAGTTAAACATATTTTATATATTATATGTATATAAATATATGTTTATACAGATAGAAATATACTATGTATTTCTCCCAGATCCTGGTTCCAAGCACCTGTTTTCCCAGTCTTTCAATTCTTTTTTAGGTCCACCCAGAAGACTATGTGGATCAAAGGCATTCATAATGCTATGATAGTAAAGAACCAGTGACTCACCTTGTAAGTCATAAGGCATGGGTGTCATGTGGAAAGGATGCCTGTAGTCTTGGATGAGGGAGGTATTAATGTAGCTTGTGTCTACAGCAGGGAGGCTTGGGGTGCGGGACACTGGAGATGCTTGATGTGGAAGACTTAATATGCTAGAAGGAGGAAAGGTGTGCATAATTTTCATACGTCAGTTGAACTTTTATGCTTAACAAAGGGGTTGTATCTCACAATAAGCCCTAGTTCTTGAGCAGGAAATGAAAACAAAGACAAGCAAAGCAATATATAATTTGGACTATCCACAATCATCAGCAAGATAAGAAATGCTCCAAAATGAACAGGTGGTGGAGAGTTTCTAAAGGTAGAATAGTACTACTGAAGAAGAAAAAAGAACAAAAAAAGAGGAACTCTGAAAGAAAAGAGTGAAATGTTTAGCTAAGTAGTCCTATCTTTTTTACCAAAAATTAAGGAAAAAAACAAATAAAAAGAAGAAAGGAAGGAAAAAGAAAAGGAAGAACTGAACTGAAATGATGGAAGAATTCTATACTCCTAAGTGTAAATAAGAGGGTCCTATGTTCCCCTAACCATACAAGAGGTTAATAGGCAAGGAGGTTACAGAAAATAGAGAAAAGAGGCCATATTTTGCTTTTAAAAGTTCTTGCAAACTAGCTGGGGTGTGGAGATGTAATTTCAAAGGTACTGAATATTTTAAAAGATGCCATGGTTGGTTTCCAGGAATAGAGTTCCAGTTAGGACCACCTACCACATTTTTATAAATGGGATATGAAGCATGAAATACACTCTTCCATCTACCTCATAAAAATGTTTCATCTAATGGAAACTTAATTAAACCTCTTACATCTATAAAAAGTACTGTTTTCCATTAGCTATCTCCTCTGACAATGCCTAAGGGATTACAAGAGAGGAAAAAAGCAGTTGGAATGCTTATCTTTGAAAACATCTTGGTATAGAGCAAACAGCAAAGGAAATTTCTGGATGAATACTAAACAGTACTCACTTCAGTGGCTAAAGAGAGCAAAATGTTTTACATTCACTTATGTTTGCCTCCTTCTAATTCCTGGCTGGCTCCTTTTCTTTCAATTTTATAATATTCTGAAATTCATTCCCCCCTTTATACTACACAATTAACACAGACAATCTGTTAGGTTTAGGTTTCTATTTATTTGCTAGTCATCATTACATAAAGGCCCTCAGTACTGAATATGGCATTATCCTTCTTCTAAAAAAGCCATAAACTTTGAGGATACTTGTTTTTATCTGAAAATAGAGAAAGGTTTGGTATTTGCAAATACTGTATCTCGGCTCAATTAGTCACTGGGAAGCTCAGGAAGTAGTTAGTGCATCTAATGTAATTTCCCAAACATAATAAACACAGCTATTTTTGGAGAAACAGCAGAGTAAATATCCAAAGAATTATTAGATTTCTAAACAAAAGTTACTTTTAAGGAAAAATGTACAGTCAGGTAGTAAAATTATTACATAGTTTATATATATGAGGCTATTTTTAATATCCTAAAGAGTAGAGGTAAAAAATATCTTAGAATCAAAATTCTTTTTTTTTTTTTTTTAAAGATTTATTTATTTATTTATACAAGCACCGGGTGGAGTCAGAAGCGCGGGAGGGTGAGAGAATTCACCAGAGCCAGAGCGGGGAGCAGAGCAGGCAGAAGGACTGAGGTACACTGCTGAGGGGAGCAGCGGGCGGCAGGAGAGGTCTGCGCACCATGCGGGACCCTCCTCCGGGGCCGGGGAGTAGCCGGGGATCGAACCGGCACCGCAGAGGCTGCGGGCAGCTTCACAACCCAGCGCTCAACCGCTGCGCCACCGGGGAGGCCCTAGAATCAAAATTCTAATGCCAACTTTTCTCTCACGCAGATTTGTAAAATAATTTGACTTTATGACAAGGTGAGACTTGTTGGGTAACAGCCATCAAGGTGGGCTTTCAACAGAGGTACATGTTCATACAACAGAAATAAAAATAGAATTAGTATTTAAAGGTTCATTTTGTTTACTGCTTTTAACGTCTTTATTTCTGTCTATATGCTGATAAGCTACTCTAGATCGAAAATACCAACCTGTATAACATGTTTAGATTCCTAAAAGAGCTGAAGTGCTCAAACGAGGAGTTACATTTACCATGAGTGTGCTCATTTACTGTTGCAGTTTTATTTTTCAAATAATGACAAATACATTCAAACAGAAGATTTTTTAATCTCCACACTATCAAACTTGAAAATGCTTTGACTCTAAGTAGGGAAAAACCTGTCCCTGGCCTATTGTTAAACTTTTCTCACGAACTTTGGAATCTATTAATAGTGCCTTCTGAGGATTTTACTTCTCTCACTTCAAGTTCTGCTTTTTGGAAGGTGATTTTGTTTGTTTTTTTAAAGATTTATTTTTATTTATGCATATAAGAACTGGGGTATAGGCCAGAGGTGTGGGGGTTCGGGGGGAGTGGGAGAGGATTCACCAGAGACAGAATGGGAAGCCGAACAGGCAAATCTACTGAGATACACTGCTGAAGGAAGCAGAGAGCGAGACAGGGCAGGTCTGCCATGCCATGTGGGTTAGCTCCTGGCTGGGGATCGAATTCATGCTGCAGTGGTTGGTGACAGCTTGCTACTGCTGAGATTTTAAACCCTGTGCCACCAGGGAGGCCCTGGAAGAAGGTCCTGGAAGGAGATTTTTTGAATAACTCCTATTCAATTGTAATAGGCCATGTAATTCTTCTGAAATGTACCCTAAAATGGGTACCTTTAGTGTGCCACAATTATGCTCAGCAAAACATGAAATCTTGCTGAGAATCCTCAATGTGTCCATAAGACTAACAGTCTGTTTAAGGATCCAGCTAGAAATGCAGCAGTTTAAACTTTGGTGGGATCTATCTGAAGCCTATATTTCTTTTGGCTTAAAAGAAAAATGAATGGGAAATCCCAAATGTACCTAGGTGCACCTTTGATTAGTACTACATAAACATAGCTACCGTCAGCTAACCATCTCTATAGTTTTGAACATCCTTTTCTTTCCCTGATAGGCATGAAAGAAAGGAATAATGCAATGGAAAAACTGATATTGACAAACGTAAAAATAAAAATCCAGTGCTCTTTGGTAAAAATAATATAACTTGTAAGTTGTAACAGTTGTGCTTATTTTATAATATTTTTGTTGGTTACTGGATAAATTTCTGCAAACAAACAAAAAGAATCCAGCTAGAGTTAGCTACATGCTACCATCCCCTACAATATATCAAACTCTTTAAGATTAGGACTGTACTCACTCATTTTATTGGCACCATGTTTGCACACTTTTATATCCAGTAGATGACAGTGCTTCATGAACTGAACTGAAGCATAATCAAGGTACATTACTGTTGAGACTAATGTGGAACTTGGGAAACAATTGTGCAAAAATAGAAAGCATTGTGTACAGCAAGTCACAATGACTTAGAAGTCTAAGTCATCTTGAATTCTTTCTTTGCCAGATGCACACATTCTGAGGCAGGTTTAAGCATTCAATTGGTCTTCCTCTGCTTTTCATGTGGAACACTCAATTTAGGGTTAAATTATGGCATACATTTTCCAGTTTGAAAAAATATTCTAAGTCCTATGAATAGCATCAGGATCACCTGTGTATTTATTAGAAATACAAATTCTCTCAGTCTCTACTCCTGAACCAGACATCGGGGGGATAGTGCACAATGTGCACTTCAATAAGCCCTCCACATAATTCTGATGTACATGAAAATTTGAGAACTGTACTAGAATTACCTTTTGGAAAGATGAATACCATACCGAAATGACTCCCTTAAGGCATTATATGAACCCCTCAAGAACAGCACAAACTTGGGGAAAAAGTCAATCTGTTCTTTGACAGTTAAGTTTTATTGTTTTTTTCTGTTTCTTTTTTTAATCTAAGTTTTAAAATCATGCATATTCACTGTATTTGACAGATCTAATCCCATGTAAAGTTAACTTCCACAATTACTTTTTTGTAAGGTCTCAGCGCTTACCCTTTATTATTTAGTGGTGATGTGGGAGACAGAGAAGGACAGGTCCTCTTGGCAGATGGCTCTTCCTCCTCTTCATCAGATGAAGTGTCTATGGTTAGGTCAATCACCTCTACTTTCTTATTTTTATTTGAAGACTGGTGGTGAGAAGTCACCTGATGCTCCAATGTGGAGGTCAAACATCCTGTGAGGGAACGATTAAAAGATAAGACCAAAAAAACCAATGATACCTTTTTGCTTTTCTCAGTGTGCCTATAGATTAATTTATCAGTTTAAGAGTTTAGATTACAATATTGCTGGGCTATAGAGTAGAAGAACAACAGTAGTTTTGTCTCCCTAAGCTTAAAACTATTATTGGTTGCTGAAGGATATTTTGGAAAACAAAAACAAAACTGAGTTAAGTTAACAAAAACAACTGAGTTAAGGCATATGATCAAAATGTATGTCCACTACAGAATAAAAGCAGCCTGAGGGCAGAGACTGTATATATGTTTACGTGCATGGTATCTGATACACTTAGGAAATGTTTTGGTAACATTTAAAAATAGTCAACATCTCCTTCTGGTAAAAACATACCAAAAGCCAAGGAAGAAACATAAATGGAAAAAAATGTTTATAAATAGGTACCAAATTTGTTCAATATCTCAAAGGCTACTATTTCAAATGGATGACTTTACAAATGACTTATTAGGTTATGTTACTTTGAAATCTTATACCACAAAAATTTCAAAATTTTGGCAAAAAAGTGGATTTAAAAGGAGTTTCATTACTTCTGAACATTTAATCAATAATAAATTCTTGAGCTGAGGTTTTTTAAAAAAATTTATGCATCTTAGTATTAAAAAATCAAGGCTTTGAAACATCAAGATTGCCCCACTCTCCAGGAAAACTAACACTCACCATCAACTCCATTGTAAGAGGCAGAAACTTCCTGTACTTCCTTTTTTGATCTCATAGGTGCCCAAGAGCCATCCTCCTTAAACTGTATTTCATCACAGTCTGTACAGTATTTTAGGATTTCCATAAACAAGCTAAAAAAAAAAAATTTGTCCTTTGAGTATCACATTAATGAAGACAGATTATAATTATTAATGTTCAAGAAATATCCAGGCCTTTTGTTTTATACAAGCATAAATGAGAAAGAAGAAAGTAGGACAGGCAAGTTATATTTGTTCTTGAAATATAGTATTCAATAGGAATATAATTACTTAAATTATGATACTTTCTGCAAGGACATATTATGTAACCATAAAAAATGAGGTTTTCAATAACATTTATAAAACATGGGAAGAAACCAAGAAAACCCTACATTTTAAAAATAAAAGTCTGAGTGGAGATATTATGGATATTTACTATTTTTACTCTTTATACTTTATATGCTCCAAATTGATAATAAGCATATCTTATTTTATAAACTAAAGCAATACATACAAAAATATGTACTGAATATTAAGTCTCTGATAAATAAGATGTAGATAAGAAAAATGATATTTGTAAAAAATGTATAAAATTAATGGTTATATCCTTAGTTATAATGCTAAATGAAACCAAAGAATAAAAAGTAGTAATATAGTACAATCACAATTATATGAAAACAAAAATCGGACACACAACAGAGCTTTTTATTTTCCTACATTTTCCAGTTTTCTTTAAGTGTGTATGTATATGGCTTTTATAGTAAGAAAAAGTCACAATTGGCAAAGGTATCTAAAACTATATAATATAAAGTGGTAAAATACTCAATCAACATTTTAGTGATCATTGTCATCTCTGAAATATTAAACATAAAACATGTTTACTTTTCCCTACCATGACTGGATGTGACATCTTTTAAGATGTAGGTTACACTTGTATTCCTTATATTACATTCCCTATGTTAGACCTTTAGACTCCTATATTTTCTCAAATGCACAGCTACATTGCCTTAAATGTTTTGCCAGGGAGTCCAGGAAATATCCTTCTTGTCATAGTTTATCTTTGTTCACTGGCAAAAAGGAAAAACAAGGAGGTGAGAATATAGGAGAAATTTAGAGGGACATTCTAAGATTTCTGCAAGGACAGAAAAGCATGGGAGTGTTAAAAAATAACTTATTGCTATGATGTTGAAGGTGAACAAGAAAGACAAAGACAAGTATCTCAGAGTGAACAGAAAAATAAATTTGCTATTTGTGCGCCGATTAGTTTTAGGACCCTTAGAGTGGAGAACAGATATGAAGGAATGTAGAGTGAGAAAATCTTGAAAAAAAAAAAAAAAAAAAAAAAAAAAAAAAAAAAAACCAGGCTAACTTCTACTAAAAATCCTAACTTAAACCAGAGTTTCACAATTCTTTCCTTCTTTCTCTATCTGGTCTGCATGTCTGGGGATACAGGGACTCATGTTAGGAACATGTGTAAGCATACCTCACTTAGAATCACTAGTTATTTAAAGAGGAGCTGACAATATTTCTAAAATGACATCAAATTAGAATGGAAAATGTTCACAATCTTAATAATAATTTACTTTGAAAAATACAGGTTTCTAGAATCACAAAAATCCTAAAATTAAGTAACTCAGAATTCCAAATCTGATAACAAATACAGATAATAAGTGTTCATTTCAAGGAACAAGGAAAACCTTTAAATTACATACCCGTCAATAATAAGGTGCTCGTATGGGGCCTTCTTATCACAGACAGGACAAACCCATGTTGGTTTTTTCTCATTCATCTGAATATAAAGAGTTGCATCAAAACACTGCAGATGAGAACATGTAAGGGCCCGACATGGAATTGTCAGCCGCATTTTCCCAAGCTTTAAGAGAGGAAGATAAAGTCAATATTAGAAAATGTTAATCAAAATTAAGGTTTTGATAAAAATTTCCTTGAAATACAATGTGTAAGTGTTCTGTATCAAAGCATATTGTGTTTATTTTTCATAAATATGAAATAACATTAAACACATTTTCTGTGAAACAACTACAGGTAAAAAATTATAGCTTTTCTTTGGATATTAGTGACTGCAGAAAATCTATAACAAGTATTATTTACCCCTAATCCACTAGGGTTATGAAAGAATATGCCAAATTTTTAAGTGTGTGCATTTTCCTGGAGTGCTTTTACCAAATTCTTATAGTCCCTGATACAGGAAAGTTATTAAACCACTTTACTAGGGATTTGGGAAAAGAAAAAAAGAGTATTATAGTATAGTATATAGTACATAATATTTATTTTCAACCTGGCCTCTGAATGACAGAAATTCACAGGCCAAATGGAATGAAATGAAAACCAACATCCCCTACAATGTTTAGTATGATTATCAAATGGCACTTCTGAGGAAGAAGCTAGGTGTGAGCACCCTGTATTTCTTCCTCTTTGGGTACCATCCCAGGCAATTCAGCAAACACCCCAGGACCTCTAACATCTCAGCATGTTATGAGAATTTCTTTTTTGCCACACACATGTGGCTGAAGGTGACAAAGGCTCACTGTGCCCAATGAATATCGAAAACTGCTTCACCTGATCCCTGAACTGCTAGCTTTGGCTCAAAGTAGAGAAACTTCCATATAATCCCTAGAGGACACCCTGAATGGTGCAGTGTGATTACCACTCTGCAGTCCCCAGAGGCCACAAGAGTCAAAGTATAGAAGTTATCTACTTTCAACAACATTATTTGCTAAATCCAAGAAAAGACTTTCTACATATTTGTGAGCTTGAAAAATATAAAGGTTTGCAAAGGATATGAGTTAAAGAAAAGAGGAAAAAGATTCTTGGCTTAGATGAATTTCAAGGAAATGTGCAATTTCCTAGTCTCCCAAGGAAATTAACTGTCATTTGATTTGAGGCCCTAAATTATTGTTCTGGTACCAATGATTTACCATGCTTCTAGGAAAGGCACTTAACCTTTTTGGGCTTCTTTTTATATCTGTAAAATAATACCATTTCCTCCTAACTTCAACAGGATGTGGTGATGAAGAATAAAAAAAACAACCCAGAATGTGCTATCAACTGATGAGGAGGGACTCCATCAAAAGTGTGGACAGGAGAGACAGTAAAAACTGATAGGTCCCTTCCCAGTGCTCCCAACTCTGACCTGCACACAAACACATATTTATACGTGTCTTTTCCTACTAGAAATATATCAGACTCCTTTCCTTACCCTCTGCACTTGGCAATGAACCTGCAGGAAGATCTCCTGTATAATGAGCAGGCCTACACGTGATCCTAGAGAGCACTTTAGAAGGCAGCCTGGACTATGAGCTTGAGTTAGATCTTAGCCCCACTATTAACTGTGAATCCTACAAGTTAGTCTTCCTAAGTCCCAGTTTTGAAAAATGGGAATAAAAATAGTGTCTATATCTTAGGATTGTGGGGATTCAATTATACTATGTTTATTGCAAATTGCCTGACACAGAGTAAGTGCTTAATGTCTTCCAATATTAAAGTACAGACACATATTTGCATGAAGTTGCTTTGTAAGCCAGTAGACCTCCCAAACCTTAGCTCAATCATTCTTCTATTCCATGCTCACAGAGTATTAAATAAATTTATTATTCCCTTTTTACAATTCTATTCAATTGCTATGATTTGATTTACATAGCACCTGATGAAAAGACAAAGAACAAACTAGCACTTATACCAGAAAAATGACTATTTACCATTATCCAAAACACGCGGCATTAGTTCAGAAACATTTTCCAAATAGTGATCTGGTGGTGCTAAATTAAATTTTTTTTTTCTATAGTAAATGGGATTATTTTCTTGATTTTTTTTTCTTCTTTTTCTTTTTTTAAAGATTTATTTATTTATTTATACAAGCACTGGGTACAGTCAGAAGTGCGGAAGGACGAGAGAATTCACCAGAGCCAGAGCCAGAGCAGGGAGCAGAGCAGGCAGAAGGACCAAAGCACACTGCTGAGAGGAGCAGCGGGCGGCAGGAGAGGTCTGCACGCCATGTGGGACCCTCACCCGGTGGCCCGGGATCGAACCGGCGCTGCAGAGGCTGCGGGCAGCTTCGCAACCCAGCGCTCAACCACTGCACCACCAGGGATGCCCCGCTAAATTAAATTTTTATATTTTAAGTCAGACCTTAACTTACCTGTGAAGTGCAAATTTCTACTGAGTAGGAAATTTTTTACCACTACCGTAATACTAATTAGAGAAATCATAGACTACAAATCCTAGAGAAATACAGTAAAAGTAGAAAAGGTTCATGTATGAGCACTAGTAGGCTATTTCTGATAGTTGAAAACAATGAATAAGAAGATTAAAAAAATAAAGACTATTTTAGAATCCAAGCCACAGGCCACAGAATTTATACTCTGAATAGAAATTTTTGGCCAAAGGTCTTCATCTCATATACCTTTATCTCTATAATGCCCAGCTGTCAATTCCTCTTTGGTGAAAGAGCAATTCTCAAGTCCTAATGATTAGCCACAAAGACAAGTCTTACAGAGTTTTTAGAAAACTACATAAAACATATAGGAAGGGGGCCTCCCCGGTGGCGCAGCGGTTGAGCGCTGGGTTGTGAAGCTTCCCGCAGCCTCTGCAGCGCCAGTTCAATCCCTGGCTGCTCCCCGGCCACCGGAGGAGGGTCCCACATGGCGCGCAGACCTCTCCTGCCGCCCGCTGCTCCCCTCAGCAGTGTACTTCGGTCCTTCTGCCTGCTCTGCTCCCTGCTCTGCTCCCCGCTCTGGCTCTGGTGAATTCTCTCACCCTCCCGTGCTTCTGACTGTACCCAGTGCTTGTATAAATAAATAAATAAATCTTTGGGAAAAAAATTAAAAAATAAATGAAAGATTATACCTTTAAAAAAACATATAGGAAGGACACTCATAAATGGGAGTAAATAGAGCAGGAGTCTGCTTTCAAATGCACTGTTTATTAGCTGTTACACAAATACCTTGCTTCAAAGAATCACAAGTAGCTTTTACATGATAATTTCTTCATATTGCAAAATTTTAAAAACAATCACTAAATTCTAAATATTTGACAACTGGATACTGATTTCTCTAATTTGGTGTCAGGAGAAAAGCTGTGCTTTGCACATTTTCCTCTTGTGATAACTAATTCCACTTTTCACTTTATAAGACATGGTGAATATGTGCATCATTTGCAAAAAAACATTTTGAAAACAACTCCCACATGAGACTTCTACTGTCACTAACCTTACTATAACATAATACTGCTATTTAGTAACTGATGATACTGCAAGGGAAAATACCTTAGATAGAAGTTTAAACGTATCTAAGCTTATATCAGCAAGATCCAAAATATAGCAATAAAATATGTATATTGTACATATTAAAAAAGAATATTAATAATCTCACTTTTTCATCATCATAAAAAATATTTCACAAATAAACTTCCAAGAAGTATTTTTTTTTTCTTTTATCAATTTCAAGTCATTTGAACTTGAGCTTATAGATCTGAGGAGTATCTAACAAAGCAGGTTCTCAAAAATCCTTCCTGCTCTATTTTTAATAAATCAGAACCTAAAAATTCCCAAAGAGCAAAAAAAAAAAAAAAAAAAAAAAAAAATTTTTTTCCATTGTCTTTAGCTAAAAGGCACACAAACAGAAACTCATTTATTTTGAGCTTTGTATATCACAAGGGCAATTCATATGCACAGTCAGAGATCATATTTACATATTTCAAAGGAAATAAATCTCTTTTACTATTCTATAAATTTGATAGACAAATTTTCATTACTAAGTTTTATTTTTTAGAGTCAAAACATACCTAAATATATGGTCTTACTGTTCCACAATAATTATAAAGGGATTGTTCCTTCTAGAAATTCTTAGAAATTACTGATTATAGTTGTTTTCTGTATAATCCAAATTTTGAAAGCAGATGTCAATTTAAAATGAACTGCTAAAACCACTGACACTAAAAAAGGGGGGAGTATCAGGGCTATACAGAAAGATTACATTTAGAGGTGCAAAGAACAAAATGTGATTAACATTTTCTAGTAAGACATAGAAGAGCCCATGAATTATAAAATTCACAACTAATTCTACAAATAAAAACAACATCATTTGTACTGTAGTGTTTATAGAAATAAAGGGTCTACCTAAATATTAAATGGCATAAATACCTTATTTATTAGCACAACTGCAAATACTTTTAAAATGAAATTGTAGAGAAACCACTTTTCCAGCAATTTAAATGGAAAATGAGGCTTTACAGACTTTTCTGAATTTCTCATATTCTCTGAAGTGATGTTTTACAATGGAATGAGATGACAAGGAACCACATGGAGGGAGAGTATGGGTAAATTGGGATTTGGGGGGAAAAGAATATAAATAAGAATGCTTTTTTATTTTGGTCTTCCTGCCACTCTCTATTTCCCTGGTTTGTGAACCATTTTTCTAAATGTTAAAAAATACCAACTTCCTTTACACCTTAGGCTGTCATAACATTTACCTGGTTACTTAAGAATCCAACCCACGCTGTATAGGTGTGAACCTATACCCCTAAAACATATACAGTGCTATAAACCATTACCTCAACAGACATAATTAGAAAAAAAAAAGAAAGCATGAATGAATCTACCTATGCCTCACCAGTCAACATTGGTGGTAAAAAAAAACCCAAAAAATTTAATTTACTACCTTTACCATTTTTCAGTGTACAATTCAGTATTATTAAGTATATACACACTGTACAACGGATCTCAAAGCATTTTCATCTTGCAAAACTGAAACTCTATACACATTAAACACCAATTCTGTATACCTCCCCAACACCCAGTCCTTTGTGGTCACATTTCTGCTTTCTACTTCTATGATTTTGACTTCCTTATATTTTATGCGAGTAAAACCATACAGTATTTATGTTTTTGTAACTCGCTTATTTTGCTTGTAATCCTAAATTCCTTGAGGTTCAACCATGTTGTAGCATATGACAGGATTTCCTTTTGTAATGTGGCATAATCCATCAGGTGTGTGCACACACAATTTCTTTAACCATTCATGTTGCTGCACATCTCTTAGCTATTATTTATTTGAGGTTCTCCTTTCAATTTTTTTTTTTGCTTTCAATTCTTTTGGATATACACCCAGAAGATCATATGGTAATTCTACTTTCTTTTTTTTTCTTTTTTTTGAGGGAACTTGATATTTTTTTCCATAATCTGCATGTTTTGGAATAGTTTACATCCCCCCACCAACAGTGCACAGGATTCCAAGTTTTCCACATATTTGCAAACACTTGATATTTTCTGTTTTTTTTTTTTTTTTTTTAATAGTGGCCATCCTAATGGGTACAAAGTGATAGCTCATGTGACTTGATGTGCATTTCCTTATGTTAGTGATGCTGAACAATTCTTTTGTGCTTATTGGCCATTTCTATTGTGTCTATACACTTTTTTTGAGAAGTAGCTATTCAAATCCTTTGCCCATTTTTAATCAGGCTGTTTGCTGTTGCTGAGTTGTAGAAGTTCTTTATATTTGGGATATTGACACCTTATCAGATATGATTTTCAATTATGTTCCCTCATTCCATACGTCTTTTCACTGTTGATTATTTCCTTTGACACACAGAAGCTTTTAATTCTGGTATACTAGCATTTTTTTTCTTTTTTTGCTCTTGTTGCCTGCATTGTTGGTGTCATATTCAGGAAATCATTTCCAAATTCGATGTCCAGAAAAGTTTCTCTAACAGTCTAAAGTCTCATGTCAATCCATTTTGAGTTAATTTTTTTTGCATATAGCATAAAGGTCTAATGCCATTATTTTGCATGTGAGCATCAGCTTTCTCATGCCCTTTGAAGAGTTTGTCTCTTCCCCATCATGTAGTGTTGGCACCCATGTCGAAAGTAATTTTGGTCATATATGCAATGCTCTAGCCTGTTCTATGGCTTTATATGATGTTTTTATACTAGTATCACACTATCTTAATCACTATTATTTTGCTTGGGGGACATTTTTGATAACTGATTCAATTTCTTTAGTTATAAGTTTGTTCAGATTTCCTATTTTTTTTTTTTTATGAGTCAGTCATGGTAAGCTGTATATGTTTCTAGGAATTTATCCATTTCTTCTAAGTTATCTAGTTGGTTGGCATGTAATTATTCACAGCAGTGTTTTGAATGCTTTTTCCCCCCTGTTACATCAGTTATAATGTCTCCTCTTACATCTCTAATTTTAGCTATTTGAGTCTCCTCTTTCTTTTTAAATAGTCTAGCTATGGGTTTGTCAATTTTGCTGATCTTCTCAAAAACCAACTCTTGTTATCGCTGAAATTTTTCCTATGATTTTCCATTTATCTCTAATTTTTATTATTTCCTTTCTTTAGCTGCCTTTGGGTTTAGTTTGCTCTTTTTCTAGCTTCTTAAGGTAATGTTGGGTTGTTTATTTAAAATCTTTATCCTTTTTAAATAAAAGCATTTGCTGCTATAAATTCCTCTTTTGCTACTATTTTTGAAACATTTCTTAAGTTTTAGTATACTTTGCTTTCCTTTTCATTTATTTCCATATCTTTTCTAAATTCCCTTGTGATTTCAACGTTGACTCATTGGTTAAGAGTCTGTTGTTTAATTTCTACATTATCTGTTTATTATTTTGTCTTCCTCCTGCTTTTTATTTCTAGTTTCAGCCTGCGGTCAGAGAAAATACTTTGTATTATTTAAATTTCCTTAAAATTTTTAAGACTTATTTTGTGGCCTAATTGTCTGTCTTTGGGGAATGTTCCAAGTGCATTTAAGAAGAATGAGTTATCTGCTGGTGCTAGTATAGTCTGCATGTCCTTTAGGTCCAATCTGTCTATAAGTGTTTAAGTCCTCTGATTTCTTACTTATCTTTTACCTGATTACTATATCCATAACTGAAAATATGCCATTAAAGTATCCTATTATTGTGCTGCTGTCTAGTTCTCCTTTCAGCTCTGTCAAGATTTGTACCATATATTTGGCAAATAACTTTTAGTAATAATGTAAAAAACTTAAAGTCAAAATATTCTCCCTAAGAAAAAGATTAGCTATAGTAAGAATAAGAAGGCAGAAGGAAATATACAAAATGATAGAATTTCATGCTGTTTATGAACTTTATTGTATTTTTCTGAAATTTATAAAACTTTAATAATGAACCGAAATTACCTTAGCAATTACTGTTAAAAAGAAAAAATTTCTTTCTAAAGAGCAATTAGTTTACAAAGTATTATAAATTAATTTGTTAGCTAATGACTTTCTCATGTTGTATTTAAGGTTTTATAAACTATAAGACTAAGATGTAGAACAAGTAACATTTGATTTCTATTTAAATTGCTTAAGAATACAATAATCTCCTTTTAGATTAGTAGGATTTCAGTATTAAAAACTTTCAGCATTAGGCCTGCGTGAGCAATCCAGACAAATCAGGAAACAGCTGTGTCCTCTCATTCTTCATACTTTCTTTCCAGTTTAGATAAGATGAATTTTATTAATTATAGACCAAAAGGGCAATCAAAATGTCGACATAATTTACCCAGTTTTTCACGTTTCTGTATGAAAGCCATATTCAACTACCATTACTGGGGGACTTAACATCAAATTAGTTAGAAATAAACCTCAACAACACATTTTACTGAAACTTTTTGCACTTCAAGTTTAATCATTTGGTATATCTTGGGGTCTTATTTATTTTGTATAGCTTATTGATTCTGACCTCATTGTCTGGTTTAAAAATATTTCAGGTTATTTCTGTGTATACAACCAGATCAATTATTCAAACTAAAGAGGATAGCCCATACTTGCTTGATTTGTTATAATATAGTTGTTGTTGGCTAAATGGTTATTCAGAGGAACCTTTTAAAAAAAAAAATTTTGATAAATACACTATAATAACAAGCATTCCCAATTTTCAGATTTTAAATAACTGAGTCTGAGAGATAGTCATAAGTTACAAGCAATATTTAAATATCTACTACTCAGAGTAGAATAATTTAAAAAACTTCAAGTTTCCAAATCCTATGGCTACTAGGATTTTCCATTTTTCATGAACTATAACAAAGAGGGCATATTTCAAAAAGAAACAGAATTTCTCAAATATTGAAAATACATAATAAAGGCAGAAAATGAATGCTAAATCTTTTGGAAAGCAAGGATTAGTTTATACTTACTGGACAAAGCAGAGAAACCCTTAGGCTGGTTGTAGCTATTTCACTGTCTGGATCGGCAGTCAATTTCTCTTTAACTGATATTCATAGAAGAGAAAACAAACAAATGAATAAGTTCATTACAAACAGATCACCGATGTAACATAAGGAAATTAGCAAAGACTTAAAATGAGGAACCTTAAAATAAAAGGAATTAAAAAATTAATCTCAATGATCTTCCAATCAATTGAATGAAAATATAAAAACAATCACATTTTTTAATTTTTACAATAAGCAAAGGAAGGAAAACAATTGTGTATCTACGGACTAACTATATTTAAGTTTCCTATTTCTCAAACATGGAACAAAAATTGCATTGCAACAACATAAAGGAAATTTCTATAGCAGGCTGACATATTCACCTGATGACAGGCTTGCTTTTATAGATCTAATAATAAACTGGACAGATTTTTTTTTAGACAATAATGACTAGTAATATTTTTTTAATTAATTAATTTATTTATTTATACAAGCACTGGGTACAGTCAGAAGCGCGGGAGGGTGAGAGAATTCACCAGAGCCAGAGCGGGGAGCAGAGCAGGCAGAAAGACCGAGGTACACTGCTGAGGGGAGCAGTGGGCGGCAGGAGAGGTCTGCGCGCCATGTGGGACCCTCCTCTGGTGGCCAGGGAGCAGCCGGGGATCAAACCGGCGCTACAGAGGCCGCGGGCAGCTTCGCAACCCAGCGCTCAACCGCTGCGCCACCGGGGAGTCCCCATGACTAGTAATATTTTAACAAAAGTTAATTAATAGAAATTACAAAGCTAACATTGGGCCTCCCCTGGTGGCGCAGCAGCTGAGTGCTGGGCTGTGGAACTGCCCACAGCCTCTGCAGCGCTGGTTTGATGCCCGGCCACTGGAGAGGGTCCCACATGGCACGATAGACCTCTCTCCTGCGCCGCCCACTGTTCTCCTCAGCAGTGTATTTCATCGGTCTGCCTGTTCTGTTCCCCACGCTGGCTCTGGGGAATTCTCTCACCCTCCCATGCTTCTGACTGTACCCAGTGTGTATAAATAAATGAATAAATCTTAAAAAAAAAAAAACTATTAAAAAAAAGCTAACATTTAAAATTTTTCTAAAGCTCAGTTAAACAAAGTATTTATTGTAAAACACATTAACTCTAATTTCAAATTATGAAAAAAGTTCAAATGTTTTACCCTGTAATTATTTGGGTATTATATTTACTTATCCATAAACTAATTACATCTGTGTATACATATGTACGTACATACACACATACACATATATACATACATGTGTGTACATACACAACTATAAACTAAACTATGCTACCTTGGGCAAGTCAATCTCTGAGCTTTATATTATTTACAGCCAAACAAGAATTCACATTAGATAATCTCTAAGCCTTTTTAATTCAAATTTCCTATGCTTCTTAAGAGAGGAGGCACTAGTAATTTTACTTTTAGTGGCTATTTTGTTATTCTGTCAGTGTAATGTAACAAGGTCCTTTATGTGTCTCATCTGGAAACCTAAGGTATCTGTTATTCCAAAACCCCTCAGTTTAGAACATTAATATTAGTAGACTAGAAATATCTAAATGTAACATTCTAGTAATTTAGAGACTGTTACATAAAAACTTTAAAGTCTATATGCTTAAGGGGGCCCAAAATGGAGTGGTTGTGTACATAATTACAGAATTCCAGTGGGTAGTTTTTTAAAAGCTCCAGATATGATTCTGATGTCAGACTAAATGTTATTTCATGGCCTGGAATTTCCAAAATGTTTAAATCTATGGAATTCACAGTCTGTCTCTCATACTTGAATGCCTTTGCCATTTTGGATCCAATCTTAGTCAAGTATCTTTTCTGCCATACAAAATAAACATGCAAATAGAATTCTTATGGAATTATTGACCATTCTATGTTTTTAACAACCCTGTCGGCACCCACCATACATACAGCAATGGGAAGAATAAATGACTTTGCGTTTTGTCTATCTAAACTTCCATTTAAATCAAGCAAATATCACAGATCATAATATTCACCTTATACAAAACAAAGTTCAATGTTTAGTTTTTTAAAAGGAAAATGAAACACAAATGGCAACCTGAGACTGGTTAAGAACAAAGATGTAGGGGCCTCCCTGGTGGAGCAGGTGGTTGAGCGCAGCGCTGTGAAGCTGTGAATCCGCTGACTGCGAAGCAACCCACATGGTGCGGAGGACCTCTCCTGTCTTGCCTACTGCTCCCCTCTCAGCAGTGGATTTCAGTCAGTAGGCCTGTTCTGTTCCCTGCTCTGTCTCTGGTGAATCCTCTCACCCTCCCACACATCTGGCCTGTACCCTGGTTCTTGTATAAATAAATAAATCTTTGGGGGGAAAAAAAAAGAACAAAGATCTAGAACCAGCTTAGGCTAGAATTTAGCCTTAGGTCATTTCACATCCCTGTGTCTCAGCTGCAAGATCTCATAAATGGAAATAATAAGAGTACCTCATAGCATTGTTTTAAGGATTAAATGTGCTAATATACATAAAATGTTTTAAAATAATATAACATATTCAATATTAGCTATTGTTACTTAAATTAAATATGATTTGTATGTTCACTTTCTCACAGAGGACAATTTTCCAAATTATTTTAGAATCAGCTCATCAATTTCTTTGTTTTTTTTTTTTTTTTAAGACTTTGCCTTACTATTGCCACTAGGGACTCAATCTTACCCAATTTTTCTCGTAAAGGTACTTTAAAAGAATCTACCTTGTATCTTGATTGGATTAAATTGAATCTGTAGATCAACTTAGAATAGCATATTAAAAAAAAAAAGAATAGCATATAAATTTTACACAGACTTTGTCCAATATATCCTGAAGCATTTTACAGTTTTGGATATTACAATAAATAATATTCTTTGAATTTCAATTTCTAATTGTTTATTGCTAATGGGAATACAATTAGCATGTAACTTGCTATACTTACATACTCTAGTAAGTTTTTTGTAGATTATGATTTTTTCCTACGTATACAACAAGGTTACCTTCAAATAAAAGTAAAAATTTTTTCATTTATAATATGTATTATTTTATTTTTCTTGTCTGTGTTGGCTAGCATTTTGAGGTCAATACTGAATAGAAGTGTGAAGAGCAGGTATCCTTGCCCTGTTTTCAATCTTAGGGGTGAAGCATTCAATTTTTCCAACATTAGCTATACCATTTACTAATGGCTTTTTTTTTTTCTTTTTAATTAATTAATTAATTTATTTATACAAGCACCGGGTACAGTCAGAAGCGCGGGAGGGTGAGAGAATTCACCAGAGCCAGAGCGAGGAACAGAACAGGCCGAATGACGAAGTACACTGCTGAGGGAAGCAGCGGGCAGCAGGAGAGGTCTACGCGCCATGTGGGACCCTTGCCCAGTGGCCCGGGATTGAACAAGCACTGCAGAGGCTGCGGGCAGCTTCACAGCCCAGCGCTCAACTGCTGCGCTACCAGGGGAAGCCCATACTAATGGCTTTTTTTAAAAATACCCTTTATTATACTGAGGCAGTTCCTGTCTCTTCCTATTTTTTAAAAGTTTATCAGGAATGCATATTTAATTTGGCCACTTTTTCTGTGTCTATGAAGATGATCATATTATTCTTTTTCTTTTTCAGTTTGTTGAGAAAGTGAGTTGATTTTCAAATACTGTATCAACCAAATAATCATCATGTATTTATGTAGAAGAAAATGAACCTTTAACCTAACCTTCCATCGTAAACAAAATTAATTCAAAATGAACTGCAGACCGAAGTCTAGGGCTGAAACATTGAAAAAATAGTTTGTCACCTTGGGTCAGGCAAAGACTGCATAGTATACAAAAAGCATGAACTATAAAAAGAAATGGGGGAAAAATTAAATATATAGAAAGTAAAAAAAAAGGGGGGGGGAAAAGATTTGACTTGACATTTCATCAAAGGAGTTGTAAGGACACCTATTTTTTTTTTTTTTATAGAGGCATGTTATTTATTTATTTATTTATTTATTTGTTTGTTTTGTTTATACATGCACTGGGTACAGTCAGAAGCGCGGGAGGGTGAGAGAATTCACCAGAGCCAGAGCGGGGAGCAGAGCAGGCAGAAGGACCGAAGTACACTGCTGAGGGGAGCAGCGGGCGGCAGGAGAGGTCTGCGCGCCATGTGGGACCCTCCTCTGGTGGCCGGGGAGCAGCCGGGGATCAAACCGGCGCCTCAGAGGCCGCGGGCAGCTTCGCAACCCAGCGCTCAACCACTGCGCCACCGGGGAGGCCCGTAAGGACACCTATTTAGCACATGAAAAAGATGCTTAACACGTTATTAGGATACTATAACTTAAATTCACAATAAGACTACAACAAAATGACCAGAATAGCTGGAATCAAAGCAGCATGACAGCACCAAGTGCTGGTGAGGATGGGGAACAACTTCAAATCTCATTGTAGTTGGAAATGCAAAAATGGTATGTTCACCTTACAAGAAACTCTCACACTGTTTTCCATTCATTTATGATGTGACTTAAAAATGCTCAGTCCCCGGTGCCTCCCTGGTGGTGCAAGGGTTAAAATAAAAATCTTAGCATTATCAAACTATAGCCAGCCACTGTGGCCAGGGTGCTGACCCACACAGCACAGCAGACCTCTTCTGTCTCGCCTGCTGCTTCCCTCAGCAGTATATTTTTTTTTTAAAGATTTATTTGTGCATACAAGAACTGGGGTATAGGCCAGAGGTGTGGGGGATGAGAGAGGATTCACAGAGAGAGTGGGGAACAGAACAGGCGGATTGACTGAAATACACTGCTGAGGGGTGCAGGGGGTGAGTCAGGAAAGGTCTGCTGCGCTATGTGAGTAGCTCCCAGGCCAGCAGGGGATTGAACTCGTGCTGCACAGGCTGCGGATAGCTTCCTAGGTTGCATCTTAACCCGTTGTATCACCAGGGAGGCGCTCAGCAGTGTATTTTAGTAGGTCCGTCTGTTCTGCTCCCCACTATCTCTGGTGAATCCTCTCACCCCCTGCACCTCTGGCCTACACCCCAGTTCTTGTAGGCATAAATAAAAATAAATCTTAAAAAAA